TTGTTTTTGCTTCAAATAAGAAAAATTGGACACTAGATTATCGAAATAAACTGTAATTTTCAGAGAGGGCAGGGAGAGAGTACTTCGAGAGCTATTTGGTATGCTAAGCATCAGTCCCCGCAGTTAAGCATCAGTCCCCCTAGTTCATAAAGCTAAGCCTCTGGGATATTGATAGTTTTATATCTGCTGAAGCCCCAGTAAAGTTAAATTTACCTGCACCAGTAATAGGGCTAGGCCTCCGTCTTGTACAGATGTCAAGACATCTTCACAGACTAACTGGAGGGCTCACATAAGAAACCATAATAAACAGAAATTTGTCATTGCCCTGTCCAGCATTGTAAGAGGCAGCTTCCCGTCTCCTGCCTCAAGCCATTTCCCTGTAGATTCTGGATCTTCTGCAGAAAGTCTCATTTTCTTTGCCATAATTATTAGCCTACTTTGCAGGGTTTGAGTATTGGCTTCTCTGAACAACTTTGTGTAGTGAAAGTGGCTATAAAATACATTTTTGTTGCTATTACCTGCTTGCTTTAGTATGGGTTTTTCCATAGTAAAAAGGTTTTGTGGGTTTAGGATATTCAGTTACTGGGTAGAGAAAACGCACCAAAATGAAAGCTTTTTCATTTATTTAAAACAAGTTTCACTTTTGAGGATCTTTTAATATTAAAGAGTAAGTTGTTCATCTTTTAAAATTCTGAATGACTGGTTTATTCACTATTACCCAGGTTTCTGGAGCTACCAAAAGGCTAACTATTATATGCAACTTGAGCTTTTAAATTTTAGTCAGAGTTCATAGGATACCTTAAGTTGTCTAATTACCAGCTATTATATACAATGCAGCTTTAAAGAGAGAGGTTATTTTTCCTTCACATTCATTCTATAAACAATTAATTCAATGTGGAAATAGGTTAGAACTATTTGTATTTAGTTCTAGTGATTGCTCAAAAGAATAAGTATTATTTCTAAGGAGATATCAAAAGGGAGTGCTAATTTAGTTTTCCAGAAATAATTATGATTATTTGATATACTGGAAGAACTAATTGGTAATGTGGACTCAAACCTACTTGATTTCATATTTTTAAATTAAAACATTTTTATAATGGAATGGAAAAACACTAGCTTGTCTTAGAAGCATTATAAACTTCTCTAAATACTCTTTTCAAAGCTCTGACGTGGAACTTGGATCCTGTTAGGCAGGCTTTTTTGTGGGCGTATTAATTCACAGTCCACCTGTCACTGTACCTATAGGTTAAGACATTAAACCACACCCTCTGTTCTGACCTGTGCTTCGGCGACAGACTGGAATCCTTTGGCTCAGCACAAGAGGCTATTTGAATAACTCAGTTCAGAAGAGCTTTTGCTTTTCACTTGCGTGAAGCAGCAAGAACAAGGGGAATAATGTTGCAGCTACATTTCTCAAGACTGCTACTATGGTGATTTAAAACTTGACCTTCCCTGCCAGATTGTGCTTGGAAGGCTTACTTATTTCCACAGACGTGTTTGATACCTAATGAAAGCAGTTTTATTGCTCAGCTAATTAGATATTTATATTTTCATTCTTCCATTCTTCAAGGATTTAATTATTCTAGTTTAAAAGGTGTTTGCTTGCTTGTATTTTTGGGTTTTTGTTTTTGTTCTGTTTTGTTGATGAAGCCTAAGGGAAATCGTTTTTTTTAGATTTGTGGGATTTTTTTCTGTTGTTCAGTTGTGTGAATTAATTCTATAATGTTTACTTGATAGTGCTAAAAAGAAAATTTGCTACTGCTATGGTATATCTTGATAAACTAAAAAGAACTTTTTAATGTAGTGGAAAACTGATAAAGCAAATGAGGAAAATTGGCAGCTGCATCTTCTAGAATGGATTCTTATAGGACCTATTTGTCAACTCTCAAACTCAGTGGCCCATGGTTGGAAGAACAAGATGAAGACATTTATGAGGTTGAATCTCGCGTGCCTTTACCACATCCTTTTCCTCTCTGTGAACATTTGGATGAAAATAACTCAGTAATTATTAATACTTCTATTTTTCATTTTATTCATAAAAGAAATGGGCACATATTAAAGCTTATTTCTAAAATTTCACTGCCTACCCCTCCTTATTCAGTAAGTATAAAAAATATGGTTTTTTATGCTTGTAGTTTTTTATACATTTAGTTAAACTATGTTTGATGAGAAATCAACTTTAAATGTCTTTAGTAAGGGTAAATGGAATAGAACCTTGTTTTGTTGTTGTGTTACTACTCATTCATCCTGGATATATTGAAGGACTAAATTTGGTCTACGCCCGAGCTTGGCTGTTTTTAATTTCAGAAAGCAGAGTGAGATGATATTGCCGTTCTTCCATGCCAGGCAACTGTATTACAAGATCCTGCTTATTCTTAAGAATCTTGCTTTTGTATGTTTATGATGCCAATCCTGAGTAGGCATGGAATGACTATATTTAAGAGACTAGGCACTGTGATACCTAAAACAGCTAAATGAATTGTCATTGAGCCATTTAGGAAATGTTTACAATCATATGGCATATTGGTTGTAGTTCCAGACAAGGAAATAAGAAACTTGTATTCTAATTTTAATTTTAATTTTCTTACTGACTCCCTAAAGAACTTATTCTCAGTGTTTTTAATATGCCTACTACTCCTGTGAGGAAATACCTTTTTCTGCTTTTTATTTGGAATGTATTTTTAAAACGTTGTTAAGGGTTAAGTATGCTGCATACTTAGTATTTCAGGTTCATCTGACACTTAAGTATGTTGTGAATGATTCACTACAAGTTATTCAGCATTTTTTATGACTTTTATAGCTTTAACTATAATATGCTAGCTAATATTTAACAAGCCAGATGGTTTTCAGAATAGTTTTGTTACCTGCCCTGGAACTTTTATATTAAAGTGATAGGATATTTACTGATGCGTTACACATACTTTAAGGATGTTTCTTAAATTATTTGAAAATATTAAATATTAAATTTTTATATATTTCATATTATTAGGTATTAGATGTGGGTATTAGAAATAAATCATACCTTTACTGGATGGGAGAGATTTTTTAAGTTTAGAGTATTTAGATGAGCATTTGAAAGGAGTCTCGTATCAATAAAGTGTGGATGCCGTCTACTATAATAAATGAAATATGTTTGCTAGATTTATTGTATTTGATTTTTCCAACTTTTTGTTATGTTTTATAAAAGTGAGATATTTCTTATGGTAAATATTTAAATGCGCTTTAAGGCTGGTTTAGATCTTGTAAAGAAGTAGAATCTAGAAACAAAGACTTACTTAATTTTCTTAGCTAAAGCAAGTATTTGTTTTGTTGTAAACGCTTTGTTGTATTTGTACACTAAATTTGGAAAAGGAAAAATAACTCATATCCTTTTTAGTTAGAGCTTTGAACTTGTTTAGAGATTTCATGTATTTACCAAGCAACTGTTTTATAATGTCCAGAAAAAAATTACCTACATACGTATAGAAGCAATCGACATATTTTTAAAATACAGACTCTGTAAATTCAGGAGAGTAGATGTGTATGAATTAGTTTCTACTTTGTGGTCATGTTTCTTTATAATAAAAATTAATGTATGTTAGTTATCTACATTTAAAGGAAAATACTCTTTTTGCCAGTCAGAAGTAAAAAGTATGTATAAAATTTTATCTTTTTTGATGTAACAACGTATTATTACAGATATTTTATGAACTGTTTTATGATTTAAAATGTATGCTTAACTTTCTATTAGTCTAAAATGTGTATTCATATTATTTTCAAATAATAAGTTGTGAGTGATATTTAAAACATCCTATTAAAACAAGAATAATTGCATACGAGATACTTTGGAAATTGATTTAAAGTGACCATAAAAAACCTTAGTAACTCTAAAATCTATTTGCTATGATAAATACCACTCAGATGTGAAGAGCAGACATCTTTAAGAATAAAAGCTTCTTAAATATTATCATAATTTTATAACACATTACTAATATATGACTATAAATTAGAAACCACTACATTTGATTCCTATTTTAAGCTTAAAACACAGCAATAGTATTTTTCTAACATACTAAGTACTTTGTGTATAAATTTACAAATTTTTACCACATTGTTGTGAGCCTGTTAGTAATGTATATGATCGTTGCTTTAAAAAAATTTTTTAATAGTGTTAATGATCTAGGACTAAGTACAAGAAACATTTGAGCTTAATTTTTTTCCCATGTAGTTGGTTCAGTAAAAGTAAATAAGCAGGTGCTGACTATCAGAAACTCGGAAAATAAGGCAGAGACAGTGCTTTTCTGCAGTTTCATGCAGCTGGTAACAATCAATGATCACTGTTTCTTGAGAGCTTTGGCCTCGAGTCTGCACTTGACTATCATCTTAAAAATTGTTTAAGAATGTAGTCAGTGTGCCAGTGACAGCATTTTCAGGAGGCTGTGTTTATTATGGTTAATATCTCTGTATTCTAAGGTTTTGAAAATAAACTGAATATTCATATAGTCTTGTAGATGTTTCACAAATGGACAGAAATATAAAGCTTTTAGTTGAAATGTACTATTTTATTAATCTTATATTATTGGTTCCCCACAGTGTACAGCAGGAGTCACAATCAATACATGTTAAATATAAAAGAAATAAAGTTTACCATAGAGTACTTGGTTACATAAAATTCTTTAGCAAATATAGAAAGAGCTTATGCCATCGTTAGCTTGGTATCTCCCGTTATACAATAGAATACAGATCTAGTGATGTAAAGTGGTTTGTTTCCAAAAGAAGCATTTTTTTTCTTCAATAAAATGAGAATACATCTCCTGTGGAAAATTGTACACAGCTAATGTACCTGTCTACTGTAACTTATTCTGCCTACTAATGTTAGCATGCACTAGAAATATTAAATGACTACAATTCAATAGTATATCTATTTCAAATCCATTTCTTTTGAGCTTTAGTGGGGAATGACCTGGTTTTCCCAACACTTTAATTATCTTCCTTCTTGTATACTTTCCTTCCTTGTCCAGCTTGAACATGCTAAAGTTACACAGACAGAGTTGATGCGTGAGTCATTTAGACAGAAACAAGAAGCGACAGAGTCCCTTAAGTGCCAAGAAGAACTGCGAGAGCGCCTTCATGAGGAGTCCAGGGCCAGAGAACAACTGGCAGTGGAGCTCAGTAAGGCTGAGGGTGAGCACCTTGCCGTTGGCAACTGATGATGGAGAAATTTCAAGTCTAAAAGTAGCGATTTTGACACAAGCTAGATTTGGAAACCACCAGTCTACTCTAATTTAGAGTGACCGTTGAAAAGTAGTTGTAGTTTGTCTTCCAGGTTCCTCCGAGCAATTTTTTAAACTACATATACTTTTAATTATAAAAGTACTTAGTAGAATTACGGTAAATGTTTAAAAATTTTGAAAATACAGAAATGGATGATGGTGAGCTATTACCATAATCCCACCATCCTCAAACAACTCTTGTAATTTAAAGATGAGGAAACCGAAGCTAAGAGATGTTGATAAATTGTTCAAGGTCACCATTGAATGGTGATGCCAGGGTTAAAGCTTCTAAAGCCCCAGGCTCTTTATATTCTACCATGCTGTTGTAGAGGATGTTAGCCTTCTAGAATCACTTAATATATAAACTTTCTGTAGCGTATTTAAAATGTGATTCAGTTCACAGGCATCTGATTTGTATTAAGCTGTCCAGGAACCTATCTATTTATGTCTGTTTAATAAAGTGGGTTACCCCTATATGATGTGATATATTAGTGTAGCAAAATAATAGAAAGTTCAGAGGAATTTCATGTTTACACACAATGGTTAACAAGAAAAAGGCTATTTTGAACATACCATAATTGCTACTATCATCAACAGCAAATTCATTTAAGACTTAATGGGTTGGAATGATTAAAGATTTTGCTAACAGTACACCTTTTGTTGCTTATATTAAAACCTTATGGTAAAATTTGAAATAAGTAATAATCCCATTCCTTGTTGATTTTTATAGGTGTCATTGATGGCTACGCAGATGAAAAAACTCTTTTTGAAAGGCAAATTCAGGAAAAAACTGAAATAATAGATCGTCTTGAGCAGGAATTGTTATGTGCAGGTAGTAGATTACAAGAATTGGAAGCAGAGCAACAGCAGATCCAAGAAGAAAGAGAGTTATTATCCAGGCAGAAGGAGGCTATGAAAGCAGAGGCAGGCCCCGTTGAACAGCGTATGTATTTTTGGACTTTGTGTGAAACATTCCTTAAAAGTTCAAGGTGTTTTTTCCCCTTTCAGTGCCACTATTCATGTATTTTATATAGGGTTTGAAAAATTATAAGAAAATCTACCTTACTAGTAAATATCTTATCATCTAACCATGTGGAATAAAGAGTTTTTTCCCTTTGGCAGATGTTAACAAGAAAAGATAATTCTTCATTTATCCTCAAGCCTCTGGCTCAAGAGAAAGCTGAATATAATGAGGCAGGATATTTTTTAAATTATGTAAGGCTTAGTTCTTTTAATACCAGAGGGGCAACAAAAATGTATACTTGAGTTAAATAACTAAGTCCACTGATCTGGCACTAGTAGTGAGCAGGAGGGGGTGGATTTTGGCCTGTGAGAGAATAGATTGAAAAGGTCAGTGACTGTTAGAAGCAGGCTGACATCTAGTTTAATCTAAGTAATAGTTCAAAGAATATATAAATTTACAAATAATCTTTAATAATTCCTTAAATAAGAAATTAGGTAACATCTTGAAGTAAAGTTTGTTTAGTGGTAAAAAACAGTCTTCGTAATGATGAAACTTTGAATACTTTTTATCTTCTCTTTTCACTTATGTTACACATGCAGTTAGAATTAAAAATATATAATTTTACTAATTTAATTTGATCAATTTAGAAGTACAACATACATTTTTGTAATATGGTAAAGTTCTTTCTGGGTGGTCAGATTTGTTTAACACAGGTTTAGGAATTTTTCTTTTCTTTCTTTAAAGATTGGCACCTGACCTAACATATGTTGCCAATCTTCCTTTTTTCTTCTTCTTCTCCTCCCCAAAGCCACCCACTACATAGCTGTATATTCTGGTTATGCTATGCAGGACGCCACCTCAGCATGGCCTGATGAGTGGTGCCATGTCTGCACCCAGGATCCAAACCTGGGAAACCCTGGGCCGCAGAAGTGGAGCGTGCGAACTTAACCACTTGGCCACAGGGCCGGCTGCAGTTGAGAAATTTTTATTGTGGAAAGTATATTATACATGTAAAATATTCAAGAAGTACTGGAACATCTCAAAATGTTACCAGTGATAATAATCGATAGTTTCAACTTTCACTTCTAATTCTTTTGTGTGTGTGTATGTGTTATCCTATTTTACAAAATAGAAAATGTGAATTATCATATTTTTGTTCTGTGTATGTTTCTTTTTTCTATTCTTATAGGACTAGTAGATGCTGCAGTCGATGCAGCACCTGGAGCAGGTGTGTTTATGCAGTTGCATGGCCAATCTTTGGCAAACTTACAACTCCCAAAGTTGGGTGACTCTTGGATTTTCAACCAACTAACATAGCTCTAGTTTTACAGTTTTGCTGTTGTGTTTCTACTTACAGTTTTTCTCTTTAACAAGAAAAAACTTTTCTTAGAATAAAAATGCATATTTATATTTGAAATTAACAAATGAGATTCATAGTGACCATCATCTTCCTATTCTACAGAGCTTAAGACCATTTTGATTTTTTTAAGGAAACATTGGTTTATTAAAGCATTTTTTCTTTAACAAATATGTTAAGCTCTTACAGCCTATGACTTTTCAGAGTGCTTTTTCTAAATCAGGAAGTATGTAAGATGATGGTATCAATAGGATCAATGAAATTTAGTAAGATAAAGAGACTTTCTGATGGATTTATATTAACATCTAAATCAGTATTGTTTTAAAAGGAAAGCTATTTTCTGTAAATTCCTAGTTCTGAGTACTGTGTTGTCAAACCAATTTGTATAAAGACTCTAGGGTTATGTTCCTTCCATGTTCCTCATTGGAGGATTGTTTTACTTTACTATATATACTTTATTATTGTATTATTAATATTGATAATAATTGCCAATACTCACATAGTGCTCGCCGTGTCCTACACCCTAGTCTTTACATGTATTGACTCACTTGAGCCCACAATGACTGTAAGAGATCTGTGGTATTCCTATCCCCAGTTCACATATAAGGAAACTGAAGGACATCATATTTAGTGTCACATAGGATGTAAGTGGCAGAGCTAGGATTTAAACCCACAGTCTCTGATCTTACACAACGCAGCACACTGCCTCTCTTACTTGTCAGTGTTCCCTCAGTACGTGTACATGTGAGCATGCAAGACTAACTCAGGAACATGGGTCTAATAAGGAGTAAGACTAACAGGAAATTCTGATTGCAGTTGTAGTCTTTTTCTGTAACTCTTACTTACCTTGGTTAAAGATTTACAGTATTTGATCTTCATGTGTATTGTGTATGTGCGTAAAAGTGACTTTATGGGTTTGGAATGAATTGATTTTTGCCTGAGGTGAATTTTCAGTGTTTGAATTTAATTAGATTTTGTTCTTTTCCTTATAGTGAAATGGATTTTTTTTTTTTTTGTCATTTGCTATTCTGTTTTCACAAAAATATAGTTTTTAGTGACAGGACATATTCTTTTTGTTAATTCTGTATAATTTTATTGATATTAATCTGCTTTCTTATATAAGAATATGTTATTTTGATATTTTCATAAGAATATTTTCCCTTTTTTATCTGTATTTAATCTCAGATCATTTATTTCATGAAGGTAAAATTTGAACATATAGGTGATTTCACTATTATAACATCATTAGTTATGATTTAACCAAGTATATTTTTGCATTTATACACAGAATTATTACAGGAAACAGAAAAACTAATGAAGGAAAAGCTAGAAGTACAGTGTCAAGCTGAAAAAGTACGTGATGACCTTCAAAAACAAGTGAAAGCTCTGGAAATTGATGTTGAGGAACAAGTCAGTAGGTTTATAGAGCTGGAACAAGAAAAAAATGCTGAACTAATGGATTTAAGACAGCAAAACCAAGCACTGGAAAAGCAGTTAGAAAAAATGAGAAAATTTTTAGATGTAAGTATTCTCAACTGGAATATTGATTTTCTCAGTGGAGTGCTACTTGCTGCTATTCTAATTTATGAATTTTAAATTATGAAGAAACTGTCGAATTCTAATATTTCATCTATATGTGTATTCTACCAGTTAATTAAAAAGTACTGTGCCAGGGGCTGGCCCGATGGCCAAGTGGTTAAGTTCATGCACTCTGCTTCTGCGGCCCAGGGTTCTGCTGGTTCATCAGGCCGGGCTAAGGTGGTGTGCCACATGCCACAACTAGAAGGACCCACCACTAAAAAAATATATATATATATACACAACTATATACGGGGGTGATTTGGGGAGAAAAAGCAGAAAAAAAAAAGAAAGAAAAGACGATTGGCAACAGTTGTTAGCTCAGGTGCCAATCTAAGGGGGAAAAAACAGTACTCGGGGCCGGCTCCGTGGCCGAGTGGTTAAAAGTTCTCACAATCCACTGCGGCAGCCCAGGGTTCGGATCCTGGGCGCGGACATGGCACCACTTGTCAGGCCACGTTGAGGCAGCGTCCCACATCCCACAACTAGAAGGACCTGCAACTAAGATATACAACTATGTACAGGGGGGGTTTGGGGAGGTAAAGCAGAAAAAAAAAAAGATTGGCAACAGTTGTTAGCCCAGGTGTCAATCCTTAAAAAAAAAAAAAGGAAGATTGGCAACAGTTGTTAGCCTAGGTGCCAGTCTTTAAAAAAAAAAAAAAGTGCTATTCCAGTTAAAAATTCCAATAATTTTTATTGTGCAGCTCTTGGAATTAAAGGCAGTATAGGCAGATAATGAATAAGTCCTATCAGTTAGCCTTTCCAAATTCAGAGTTAAGAAGCTTGTCCTAGTCTTTCCTGTAACCAACAACCAAAGCACGTGAGGATACTGAGCTAATTCGCCACCACTGTTTCACCTGCTAAAGATAAGCAGGTAACAGTGTGCCCTTGGAAACACGGGACTGGAGCAGTTGTCTTTTCTCTCCTCCATAAAGATGTTAAATCTTGAATTTCACATGGATTTGTTTTTCTTTGGGGTTTCACTTAAGCCTCATGTTTTCTTCACAGATCAAAGAGTCAGATTCGTATATATTTTATAATTTTAGGTATAAAACCTAGCTTAGGATGAAAGAAATGGATTTACCAAACAATTTGTTCTACTTAGTTTAATGACTAAATTAATGGTGGAATTCCTCCTTTGTTCCAAAAAAGTAAATTCATGTTAAGGAGAATATTCTTATTTCATTTTGTGTTAAACATTACTTAAAGAAAAAAAAGAAATGCTTCAAGTAGTATTTAAATTCTTAAATTTTTGTCAAAGAGCTCAAATAAGCTATGTGCTATACAAAAAATGTTATCTTTTTATTCCTTTTTGGTTTGGGATCTTCTGTGGTCATCAGCTGCTTTTCTTCAAACAAAATTATACCTATAACTAAAGGAAAGTAAGGAAAATAATAACTTCAGGTATATTGTTTCTTCAGTTACTTGTATTATTATTATTAAACTTCAGGAGCAAGCCATTGATAGAGAACATGAGAGAGATGTATTCCAACAGGAAATACAGAAACTAGAACAGCAGCTTAAGGTTGTACCTCGATTCCAGCCTATCAATGAACACCAAACCAGAGAGGTAAGAACTTTACTGATATTGTCTGCCTGACAGTAATGTGTATATTGTGTGTAAAATAAGATACATATTGTAAAAAGTTGTAAAGGAATTCTTTCTATTGCATAAAAATCTTCAAAATCATAAAGTTAAATATTACTTCAACATGAGAAGGTTCTTAAAACCCTAAAAATTGTTTCTATTGAAATTTGGAATCATTCCCACTTGCATTTATATTCTTGTATTGCCCAATTAAATAAACTTTACTGCTCATTTTTCTTTTCCTAACAAAATTGATCAATAGGGTTATCTATATTCACTCTTTACTTCCCCATCTCCCATTCTCTTCTCAGTCCGCTCCAGTGACGTTTCTAACCCCCCTGTGTCGATGGGGTTTCATATCCTCTACTCTGTTGAAGCTATTCTTGTGCAAGTTATCTACACCCTCATGGCTGTGTCCAGTAATAGCCTCTCTGTCTTCATCATACTTGACCATTCATAGGATTCGTTTACAGCCTTCTTCCTGAAACACTTCCTTCTCTCAGCTTCTGTGACACTCATACTTCTTCAGTCTCTTTCTCCTCTACCCAAAATAAATGATGGAGTACCCCAAGACTTAGTCTCGGGCCCTCTTGTCTTCCCTATTTATATTCTCTTTCCAGGCAGTTATATATAAATGACTCACACTTGTGTCTCCAGCTCTGGCATCTCTGGTTGACCTCCAGACTTGAGTGTTCAGCTGCCCACTCTGTATTTCCATGTAGATGTCTCAAAATTAACATGTTCAAAGGAGAGCTAGCCCCCACCAAAGAAAGACAAGAATAAAATATGTCCCTTCTTTATTTCAGTAAATTCTATACCGTTTCCACCTTCCTCATTGCTAAGACGTAGAATTTGCCCTTGATTCCACTCTTTCTCAACTTCTACTTCAACCCCTTGGTGAGTCAGGTTGCACCGCATCTTCCTATTCTTTCTACTTTCATTCACTCCCCAAATCCTAGCTGTCGTCATTATTTGCCAGGATGATTATGGTAGCCTCCTTCCCACTCTCCCTGCTTCTACTTTTTCACCCAACCTGTCCATTTTCCTCATGTAGACCTAGTCAGAACTGCCTATTTACCAAATGAATGCTATATGAATAAGGGAAGATTCATTGTATAAATTCCTGAAGGTGGCTTGTCATGGTTGCAAAGAGATCATGCTAGAGGTTAAACCATTCCAGTTTAAATCGTGTTTATATATATTAGGTGTGTGACAATGGCTAAGTCACTTTCTAAAACTTGTTTACTAATTTCTAAAATAGATTATAATAGAACCCACCTCATAAGAGTATTGGCCTGGTACATAGTGAATACTTAAATTTAACTATTATTATTTCTGAAAATGCTTTTTATTTTTAAAAATTTTTGTAGTGTATAATTTCTATGCAGTGTACTGGATTTCATTTCTCTTAAAAGAATTCCAAAGTATAAAATACCTGTAAACTTATTATAGTAAAATGTTATCTACATTCTCTTTGAATAGAAGTGATCTGTTGCGGAACAGCCTTATCTACTAGAGCAGTAGAAAAGTTTTCAGTCCCCAGAGTTTGTACTTATTGACCTTACTGCTAACAAACGTATTTTCAGCTTTTGAAAACTAGCCATGTTTTTTGATACTCAAAAGAATATTTAAGCTCTAGAATTTGTCATTTCCTATTATTTGTTTTCTTATATTTGAAAAGTGTGACCTGCCTCATTCATGAAACTGCAAGAAACTAACAAGGATGTGTATATTTGACTTTCTCCCAGAACACTGTGATCCATTTGTTCTCCCCTAACCTTTCCAGATCTGATTCCCCAGCTTCTGATTTTCTCAAGATCAAAAAACCCTAACTGTAAAAGTATATTGTGTAACTTTACTATACCTGCTTTGTTGTCTTTTTCCCTTGACCTTACTCCAAATCTTAGTCCAGCCATTATAGTTAAAATGTCTCCCCTTTGGCTTTGTTACTGTCATCCTTCAACCTGTAATTATAGGTAAGCTTACATTTCTTTTACTATTTTGAGAAATAATTATCACCTTTTTTTTTTTTATATTTTTATTTTTTTCCTTTTTCTCCCCAAAGCCCCCCAGTACATAGTTGTGTATTCTTCGTTGTGGGTCCTTCTAGTTGTGGCATGTGGGACGCTGCCTCAGCGTGGTTTGATGAGCAGTGCCATGTCCGCACCCAGGATTCGAACCAACGAAACACTGGGCCGCCTGCAGCGGAGCGCGCGAACTTAACCACTCGGCCACGGGGCCAGCCCCTATCACCTTTTTTTCCTCCTTTAGATTGGCACCTGAGCTAATTTTTTTTAGGTAATTTCATCAAACTGTCTCACTGAAATAAGATAGAATTCCTTTTTGTTTTCTACCGTCACATTTCTTTTCTTAGTAGGCTTTCTCTCTTCGCTTGATCAGAACTCATTTCATAAGCTATCTTATTAGTCCTTCCTGAATTCTTCCCTCACAAAGCCATTCACGTGAATGGACCTGCATATCAGAATCACTTAGGGAAACTTTCAAGGTGCACAGATCCCTTTCACCAGCCCGCATTCTCGTCTCTCTTCTGGGCTGGTGGAGTGTGTAGGCTGGAAAAGCTTTCCAAGTGACTGTATTAAAGCTCCCCGGCCCTCCCATCCCTGAGGTATTTACAGTCATTAATTTACAGTCATGTGTTGTTATTACATGTATCAATTATTATTTCTGGAAAGAAAAGTATAATCCATGAAAGATTTTTTTTTAGGTCATCTTATCTCACATAAAAGTAGAAGTCAGTACTCAGCAAACTCATCCTCTTTATTAATAAGACTTTAGTGCGATTGTACCATTAGTGCTTGCAATTCAACATTATTCAAGTATAATTTTTTTCTCCTCCTAGCTAAAGAAAGTCTTAGTCTTAAGAGAAAGAACTTTTTCTAAAGGCTTGGTGAAAGCAATATTATTTCTCTTTTGCTAGTGCTACTTAGTTTTATCAATTCAGAAAATATCACCTTAGTTGGAGATAGTAGTTACTATCCTTATCAAAAATTAGCACTTTTTGAAATGAGGATAGATATGATGTTATTAGCTTGCCGAAATTTTTTTAAATTACTGTTTTTACTTAATATATATTTCCAGGTTGAACAGTTAACAAATCATCTGAAAGAAAAAACAGACAAGTGCAGTGAGCTTTTGCTCTCTAAAGAGCAGCTTCAGAGGGATGTACAAGAACGGAATGAAGAAATTGAGAAACTGGAGTTCAGAGTAAGGGAACTGGAGCAAGCCTTACTTGTTAGTGCAGACACTTTTCAAAAGGTGTGACATTTTCTTTGGGTTAATTTTATCAAGTGTTTTAATGCAGATTAATTACTCGAACATCAGTTCTTTTAAACAAAAAATTGCTGTTGATTTTTTGTTGATCTTATTACGTAACGTATATATCTTTTGTTTTCATTGACATCATAACCATTTCTGTTTATACTTATTTCCAAATGCTGCTTGCATACCTTAGTCCTGCAAAAGGGAAGATTAGTTAAACCAAAAAAATTAATTACCCTTTTAACCATCAATAAAATCATGATTCTAAAATAATAGCCAAGTGAAAAAGCTCTGGACACCAGTTTAGGCTGATGCTTTTCCCAGACTTAGAAGTAATGAAATCTATTGCCATTATACTGCAGAAAGCAAAAATGAATAAAAGAAGAGCGGGATAAGGAAGGGGGGTGGCAGAGGAGGAGATAATCTTCATTTTATCTGAGAAATGAATTATACAAGTGTCAAACGCTGCTGTTTGAATTTATATAAAATATATTCAAGACTGAATATCTGTAACTTTTGATTATTCACCAGTATAGATTATTTACTTCTAGAGTGGAAAAAGAGATTTGGTACTTCTCCAATTAAAATAGATAATCAGGATTAAAGTCTGAAATTTTGAGAAAATTCTTATGTATTTTAAGGTAGAGGACCAAAAACAGTTTGGAAGTATAGACGCTAAAGCAGAATTGTCTCTGGAAGTACAGTTGCAGGCTGAGCGAGATGCCATAGACAGAAAGGAAAAAGAGGTAAGGAGTTTATTTTTACTGATAAAATGTGATTTGAATTGTTTTAAATAAGCCACCTTGCAAATACCGTTTGAAGAGAATGGAGTTTATGGTCTAAACCCAAAGTTTAGTCTGTTTCTTAGCTCATTGCCTAATTTGACCTTGAAGACAATAAACATGTGAACAAATAAGCTGGTGTGAAAAAGCGTGTTCTGCTTAAAGGGGACAAGTGTAAAGGCCTTGATGTGGGAAGTTTTGATGACAAAAAGAAGATAAGGTAATAGTTGACTGAAGAGGAGAGTGCAGAGAGATAGCAGTGTTAGGTCAAAAGGCCTGACCTTACCCTGGGCTTTGAATTGTTGCTGCTTTACTGTGCGTGGTTTAAGTTTTATTGCCCGGGGAGGTTACAGTGCTGTTCTACAGTATACTGAACATATTCTTAAAACAAAAGGTTAGTAATAAAGTAATTATGTAAAATTCTCCTATGTTTTTCTACTCCCTCCCTCCCCCCCCAAAAAAAACTCCACCTTTAAAACGGTAGTAATTTTCAATTCCTAATGTAATTATAACTTATTTAAACTTTTGTCTACTAAGTTTTTCTAAAACATATCATACTCTACATTGTCTAGCTCTATCACATCATTTAAAATGTTTAAAGTTTTTTGTTTATTTGTTTTTTAAAGATTTTTTATTTTTCCTTTTTCTCCCAAAGCCGCCAGGTACATAGTTGTGTATTTTTAGTTGTGGGTCCTTCTAGTTGTGGCATGTGGGACGCCACCTCAGCATGGCTCGACAAGTGGTGCCATGTCCGTGCCCAGGATTCGAACTGGTGAAACCCTGGGCCGCTGAAGCAGAGGGTGTGAACTTAACCACTTGGTCATGGGGTTGGCCCTTAAAGTTTTTTAAATTACGTTTTTATGTCTTTCCATAAAACTTTTATAGGACATTCAATATATGTTAACACATATTTGTTGGACTTAAATAGCATAGAATTGCTAATAAGTGCTTTGAAAAATACAGGAATGATTTAGACGTCAGCTAAAACTGCAGCTCAGAGAACTTGGAGTTTAGAGAAGAAAAGAGCCATCTATATAAATGACTATAATAATGATCATTTCCACAAGAAGGGTTATTTTCTCACTGTCACATAATACCAACTAATGTTCATCTAAGAGGCTCTTGTTTATTTTGTTTTTTGGTTCTTCCAAGAGATGGGGGAAGCACTTTTGTTGATAGGTAACCAGTTCTTTGTGTTTGGAAAAGAATTAACATTTAGAGATTTACCTTACACTAAATAATCAAAGAAATTGTCTGCTCCCTGAAGAGATGGACCTTCAAAACTGGACCCAAAAGCTTCCAAACTACAGGAGGCCTTAGAGAGCATCTGTGAACCAACTCCCAGTTTTTACGAATGAGACGGAGCCAGATGTTGAATGAGTAACGAGTTCAATCACAGCTGACTCTGATCTACTTGTAGTATTTAATAATAGTGACAAGTACCCTGTCAGAACCCTCTCACCTGTAATTGGAGACTGAAAGACAGGAATGTAGAGTTGAAACATATCTTTTATGAAAATAACTTCTTAAGCATTCTCTCCTACACTAGGCAAATGTTTTCAAACATCTGATGGAGTATAAACACAAGATGTGTATGTGTCATTATATTTGAGATACTTCCTACTACTCTCATTGCTTAAATTTGTGTAAAACATTTTCTTAAAGTTTATTATAATGTTTAGAAATGCAGAATGAGTAGAAAGAGAAGAAAACTTTAAGAGGTAGGAGTTTCAGGATGCTAAGAGAAGGAAAATATTGTGGAGAGAAATGAAGGAGGAATTTCCTTAAAAAAAAAAAAACCTTCACCAATGAGATCTAGTTTACAGATGGCAATAGTAAGTAATAATAGTTAACTTTGTTGAGGTCTGTACTACAAAGTGCTAAGTATTGTAAATGCCTTATGTTATTAATCCTTACACTTTCCCTCAGGAAAGGGTCTATTGTTATCTCCATTTTACAAATGAGTAAGCCAAGTCTTAAGACAAGTTAAGTAACTTACTCATGGTCACATAGTAAGTGGTTGAGCAAGAGTTCCTCCCAGATTTCTCTGATTCTGGAGTATCTCTGTGCTGTACTGCCAAAGCCTTGAGGTGTGTTTTGCCTTGGTGAGAAGTATTAAAGACTGTCATTCAGCATTTATTGAGCTCTTGCCAAATGTAGACCACCACTGTTCCATCGTAAAATCAGCACTGGACGTCAAGGAATCTGCTGTGTAACTAAGGAGACATACACATTTAAAAGAGATAAAAGCACTTAAAAAGAAAACACAAATAGGTACAAGTTAATGTAATCCAAACAGTTTAGATATCATTTGGTAGCTAAATTAAACAAGGTTAAAACAAATAGCTACCAGTCTATTTTTACACCTTACTAATACTCTTCTGATTTTTGGTTGTTACAGACTCAGTAATAAGACAGCCTGGGACTGAAACTAGAGTCTGGCTGAATAAGAGGAAAGAATGCCCTATAGTGTCTTTTTTGGGCATTGAAGGCTCTGTTGTGATGCCTCAAGTCAGCTACTTATAATAGGAATGTTAGTGCATTAGATCAGTGCTTCTCAAACTTTAATGTGCATATGAAGCCCCTGGGGATCTTGTTAAAATGTAGATTGTGATTCAGTAGGTCCGGGTTGGGGCTTGAGAATCTGCACATCTAACTCCTTCCCACCTGTTCTCCTGCTCCAGGGACCACACTTTGAATAACAGGGCTTTAGATCACAAAGCTAAGAATTTCACTGTAAACTGTTGTATCAAAAAAGAAGTAAATATTGTATGAAGTAGGGCAGCAATTTTGAACTTAAATATCTCTGTATGTGTTGATTTTAAAATAATACCTTGTCATCAAAAGTAGTAGTTGTAGAAGATAGGGATAGGTGTAAATACTATTATATTAGATAACTTTGAAGAAGATATAATCATAACAATTTCCCCTGATAATTATATATGCACAACTACTAAATGTACTTAAGGTTTGTCTTCTGAATTTAATACCACTGTTACAGAAAAGAAATTTAAATGTAAGTCTCAGACATTAGTTATTAGAAGCAGGATAAATGATAGTTAGGAGTGGTAAGGCTCCAGAGGTAAACTCCCCAGAGTCAAAAGCTGGCTTCACCACATACTAGCCGTGTGACCTCAGGGCAAGGTAAGATACTCCCCTCTCAGTGATGCTCTTCCTCATCTCTGAAATGAGGATTATCCTAGTCCCGATCTCACAAGGTTGTTACAGGGTTTTAAAATTATATATATATAAAGCACCTTATGCAGTGCCTAGCAGTAAATTGTCTATAATCGATGGCTATTATTACTCATATTGATACTTTTTCTGTTAAGGAAATACTAGGCTAAATGATTTTTAAGGTCTTTGCCTTACCAGTGCTAACTCATGGTTCTGATTACATGTCAGCATGTAATCAGCATATGGTCCCTTTCAAGTTCTAAGGAACAATAATGATTTCTCTGCTGCTGTCTGAGCCAGCTGCCACTAAATGCTGCTCCTGCATCTTAGGTTGCTTTTAATGTAGCAATTTTGATCATGTGGTAAATACAGATTTGGAAATCTGTTCATTAAATGTTTATTAAGTAGCTACAAAGCAGGGAGCTGTTCCTGTCCTCAAAGTTCCAGTTAAATTTTAAAATACTAACTAGCCTTTAATATTTGTCATTGGTTTCAGTCTCTAACCATCAAAGAACAATTACTTTACCATTAATGATCTGTGCATAGAAATGAGCTAAATTTCTATTGTCCTGCATATAGGAAGTCTGTAATTTTCTCCTAAAATTGTATTAGTAAACTCTTAAGCTTCTGTATTTCAGACCTAAGAATCTCACGGTTTTAGTGTCTGCCTCGCCATCCTTCTGCTTAAACAAGGCACATGGCAGCCAGACCTTTCATTGGGTTAACTCAGTCTTAATATATAGATTAAATTGAACTAGTCTCACTTGGTGGCTAAAATAACTGACTTAATTCTCTAGCTCTTTTGAGCCTTTTGATAATAACTAAACTAAGATTTAAAATGTGGATTCTTTCCCTTCTTCCCATGACTCTTCTCTGCTTTATCAGAAGATATTTTAGGTAGGAAACGGCTGCTTATATCCTTTCTCTGAAGATCTCCTCCTTGCTTTGGGCACAGTGGTTTAAGGCTGTTCAGTTTGAACATGTCTAGAAACCACACAGGGTCACCTGGCTTAGAGAAACCCCTTTCCGTTATTCTCATGGCTCACATGTTTTAAGCATACATGCTTCATAGAGCTAACACAGCACTCTTCATTCTCTCTGAACAAATAAACATTTGTATAAATTTTTTTCTCTTTCCTTTTGATAATTTTGGTACTAAAGATCACAAACTTAGAAGAGCAGTTAGAGCAGTTCAGAGAAGAACTGGAAAATAAGAATGAAGAAGTTCAGCAACTACATATGCAATTAGAAATACAGAAAAAGGAATCTACTACCCGCCTACAAGAACTTGAACAAGAAAACAAATTATTTAAGGTAATTAGTTAAGAAAAACTTTTAAATAATTCATAGTTTTCATCCTCTGTAGCCTTAGCATTGTTAATCATTTGCTAAATCCAGCTGCTAAACAATACTTAACATGGGAACGTTAGCTGCAAATGGATTTGCATGGTATTTTCAACTCAACATAAACATTTGAATTCATCATAAATGAAAATTTTTTGAGAATTTTTATCAAAATATTTTAAGAATTATTGATATACAATAACTATATGATATCTCTAATTTTTTCATTTGTACGTTTTTGGCACTATATCTTTTGTAAGAGTTAATCGAAAGAATGTTTGGAAAATCACATGTAATGATCTGTACAACTGAGATGGTTGTTTTTGTCCCTAGGATGAAATGAAGAAACTGGGATTTGCCATAAAGGAATTTGATGCTGTCTCTACTCAGGACCAACATGTACTGTTTGGGAAATTTGCTCAAATAATGCAGGAAAAAGAGGTAGAAATTAACCGATTGAATGAGCAAATTACAAAACTTCAGCATCAACTTAAAATTGCAACAGATAACAAGGTACGCTAATTCAAAATTGATTGTTACATGAAATTAAGCTAGAATTTTAAAGGGCAAAATGGTAATTTTTTCAGTTTCTCTTTGAACTTAAAAAACAAACCTTAATTCTCTCTTAGCCATTAATTTTAATTTGTTAAGACACATTGACTTAACAAGCTAATCTTTGTCCCCTTCTAATATCATCAAAGAATTATGATGTTTTTCAGGAAGTTTCTGGTGACTCAGATTTCATCATGTCATTTTAACCAAATCTATTACAAATTCTTCTATTTAGTATGAGTTAAGTAAGATAATGACCTTTGGACATCATCTTCTATAGACTTTTTATTTCAATACTTCATCCTTTTCACTTGGAACATATTGACTGTTTTACTTCTAGGAAATCGGCTACTAAAAGTGTAAATCATTTTATATTTAACAAAACTTTCCGAACACAGTTCTGAATGAGGTCCTTGTTTGATATGATGGGGCTGTTGGTCTATGTTAAAGTAATGTAGCATGTCTGAGAAGTGTATTGTTTTTGTGTGTGTGATCAGCACTTTAAGATCCTGCCCTAAAATAAAATGAAATTCCTAAAATGTAACGGTGTATTTATTGTGTATGTTACCTTTTTTTGTTAACTAATAGGTTATTGAAGAAAAAAATGAACTAATAAGGAATCTTGAAACCCAGATAGAATGTTTAATGAGTGATCAAGAGCGTGGGAAGAAAAATAAAGAAGAAGAAATAGAGCAGCTCAATGAAGTGATTGAGAAGCTTCAACAGGAATTGGCACATATTGAACAGAAGACATCAGTGGATGCCAGTTCTCTCCCAGAAGAAGCGGATAGTTTAAAACATCAGTTGGATATGGTAATAGCTGAAAAACTGGCTTTGGAACAGCGAGTAGAAACCACTAATAAAGAAATGGCCTTTACGAAAAATGTACTTAAAGAAACCAATTTTAAAATGAACCAGCTAACACAAGAATTATGCAGCTTAAAGAGAGAACGTGAAAATATGGAAAAAATCCAGACTGTACCAGAAAAAAATATTGACATGGCTATAGATCTGAGCAAACACAAACCTGAGCTAGAAGTAGTCCTTCCTGATGATGCTCTTAAACCCCTGGTAAATCAGACTTACGTCAAATCTTTTGAAGAAAACAGCAAAGTTTCCATAAGCAGTTTGGAAACAAAGGTGCTACAGCTTGAGAGCATTATTAGCGCAAAGGACTTGGAACTTACCCAGTGTTATAAACAAATAAAGGACGTACAAGAAAAAGGCCAGTCTGAAACAGAAATGCTTAAAAAGAAGATTGTAACCCTGCAGAATCTACTTGAGGAAAAGGTTGCTGCTGCTCTTGTGAGTCAGGTCCAACTTGAAGCAGTTAAGGAATATGCAAAATACTGTCAAGACAAACAAGCAATTTCATTAGAACCCGAAAGAGCACATATACAGAATTTGAATCAACTCACAGAAAATGAGATGGAGTCAAATGTGTTAGCATTAACCTTGAGAATATCAGAATTAGAAAGCCAGGTGGTTGAAATGCAGGCTAGTTTGATTTTAGAAAAAGAACAAGTAGAAATTGCAGAGAACAATGCTTTGGAGAAAGAAAAGAAGCTACTAGAATTACAGAAGTTATTGGAGGACAATGAGAAAAAACAGGGAGGGAAAGAAAGGAGAAGAAGCCCTCAAGGAGATTTTGAAGTTCTCAGGGTTAGTTTGTATTTGATTTTTTTTCATTTGAATACCCTAAAAAACTCTCGTTTCCTTTGTTGCTTAAGCTGATTGCTAATTTACTAAATTAAACACGGTGTTCTTACATCGCATGATTAATATATAAAACGTTTTCATAAAAATACTTCTATTCTGTACAGTCTTATTATTATTACTAGAATAATGTAAACTGTATTTTGTGGTCTTCAAATCATGATATTTATTTCACTAGCATACTCATTAAGTAGTGCAGTCAGAAGCAACTTAGAAAGATGAAGTTTAGCAGATGTCCTCTAGAACTTGTGTAGGTTTTTTTTCCTTTCCCCCTAATATGCATGTCATGTGATCATCCCTTTTAAGTAATGAAAATATCAAAATATATTAGTATTCTGCTGAATGAAGGCATGAGTGATGAGTCATTAGCTTTTGCAAATTTTATACTTGGTAGATTTCATCCTTTTCTAGGAAAAATTTGTATTTCACCTTTGTAAGTCTGGTTGTGTAAGGATCTGAAATTGCAGGTATTTCTTTGCATGGAACAGATATGAGAGGACTTTAATTTTCATGTTCTCACTTTATGTATTTACAATTTTGAATAGTAAATGTGCAGTCTTATCTCAATACCAGGAGATTAACTGATATATCAGGATTCCATAAATATTTAATATATTTCACAAAGGATAATAATTCTTTCCATTTACCTAGGCTTTTTCCTCCTAGCTCACTGGACCCATAAATGGTAGTAATGTTAAAATAGTAATATGACTTTCCATATATATAAAACTTCTAAGAAATATCTTAGTACACCTGGTTATCTTTTGAGGAAAGTGATATAAACATGAAAGTTTTTTGAAGGTTACAAAAAATATTTTTACTAATAATTCATAAATTTTTAGGATATAAACTAATGACCTGATTTACCTTTTATTCCCAGAAAACCATTCTTTTTTTTTTTTTTACTATCTCAAGAATATAAAATAATAGTTCTGAAGAAGTTTTCCTATTTGTTGAAAAAACACATATCATTTCAACTCCTTTTATCTTATAGGCAGTCGTTCCTAGAAAGCATCATTAGACTATGTAAGTGCCTTGAAATCAGCCATAATTTTTGAAAATTACGTGTTTCTTATGTTTTCCACTGCCATTCAGACAACTACTAAGCTAACTCATACCAATGAAGAAAGTGGATTTTTTGGTCAACTTGAGGCTCTTAGAGCTGAGTCAGCAGCTACCAAAGAAGAACTTGCCACGTACAGAGAGAAGGCAGAAAAGCTTCAAGAAGAGCTTTTGGTAAGATAAGTAACATGACTCCTAATGGACTTATTTCTACTAATCTTAATTTCATTTCCAAGTATATTCTCTTCTGTAAAAACAAACCCAGATCCATAACTTAAAAGCTAGAGAAAAATCAAGTCTTTTGTGAACTTGATGGAAAGTTCCATTATCATAAATTTGTCTACTAGCATCTTCTTGCTTGGTTTTCCTTGGAATCTTTGTTAGGAGGATGCCTTTAATGTCCAGACTGTTAATAAAGGAGGAGAAAGAAAGATGAGAACTGTATATCCCATGAGAACCCAAAGTACAGACTGATGAAATGATTTCGTTTCTGTGGTGATTTATGACAATATGGTAATCTATATACAAATATATATGGAAACTGGGTGTTTCTGAAATTTTTTTTATTATTACTATTCTGAGAAAAATAAACACATTACCATGAATTATACTTTCCCTCTACCTAAGTTCTACATTCAGTATTTTAAACCTGCATATTCTACTGTTCTATTCATTATGTTTTAGGTAAAAGAAACAAATATAGCATTTCTCCAGAAAGATTTACTCCAAGTTAGAGATCAACTGACAGAGGCAGAAGAGAAATTATCCTGCTTCTCAGAAAAAGAAGATAAGACCTCGGTCTTACATGAACATGAAAACAGAAAGGTCCGCATATTAGAGCCACTTCCTATTAAAGTGGGTAAAAGCTCTGCATCCCAGACTGAGGGGACTGTCAAAGTTAATAATAGCAATCAGACTCCACAAATTCTTGTTAGAAACGCAGGAATCCAAATTGATTTACAGAATGAATGTTCATCAGAAGAAGTCACTGAAATAATCAGTCAGTTTACTGAAAAAATCGAGCAGATGCAGGAACTACATGCTGCTGAAATTTTGGATATGGAATCCAGACATATTTCAGAAACGGAAACCTTGAAGAGGGAACACTATGTTACTGTTCAGTTACTGACAGAGGAATGTGGTGCCCTGAAGGCAGTGATACAGTGTCTGAGATCTAAAGAGGTATTGGTTTTCCTAATAATGTTTTTTCAACATTCTATGATTTTTTTCCCAAAATCCTCAGCTTTTAAGAAAAAGAAATTTGAGGCAATCTCTTCCTTATGGTAAAATTACAATTTTAAATCTTTCCATTATGTAGAGTCAGATAATAACTTAGCACAAAGTTCCTGTGCAGATTTGGAACCTGATGTTATCGTTCCTTAATTCATGAATGTCTCTTATTATTATAGTAATATCCATGAAGAAAAACATTAAAGACTTCTTGTAAACCATGGATAGTTTCATTTATTATGAAAGGTGTGATAGATTTGATTGAGGGTTTTTTTGTTTTTGTTTTTTTGACAGCGTTGCAAAAGAACACTGCTATTCATTGGACCCTATTTTTATTAAGTCAAAAAACGATATGTGTTTTTTTGTTTTCTCTAATTAGGGATCCTCAGTTCCTGAATTAATACATTCTGATGCTTACCAAACTAGAGAAATATGTTCCAGTGGTAAGTTATATAAATTTCTGGAATTTTCATTGTGCTTATTTAAAAAGTGTTTGTTTCTTTTCAGTAGTCATTGGTTTTCTTTATTTTAGATTCTGGATCAGACTGGGGTCAGGGAATTTATCTTACACAAAGTCAGGGATTTGACACAGCATCAGAAGGCCAAGGAGAAGAAGGTGAAAATTCAACGGATTTATTTCCGAAGAAAATAAAGGTACTAAAATACAGGTAGCTTTTAGTAAAACTTAGCCAATGTGGTTTCTATATTGAACACAGTAGTTTATTAGTAGTTATATAGGAAGATCCACTCTGAAGAGAGAATTGTATAGCTAAAATGAACTTTGGGAAGCTGTTTACTTGTATTTCCATATTTTGCAGATAATAAACTACAATATATTTAATAGTTATTTGTATAAAGGTCTTTTGAGAATAATTTTTATGCCTGATGTTTTCATTTGCCAAAATTATTAAAGCAGTCTCAAGGACTAGAAGTTAGTTATCTCCTACGTATTTCTTTTGGTCAAATTAGTGGCTAATCGATAAATCCAAGAACCACACATTAAATAAATAGAAGGAACTTAGAGATGAGAGCCACGCAAAGTCACAGAGCATAGGAAGAAGGCATTCACTGTTGGTGAGCTGTGTTTCCTGTCTGCAGTGGCTTTTCTGAATAGATCTAACTAGATAAACTGTCTTGCTTCAAATGTAGTCTGAAGCAAGACTTTGCAATCTCTGAAGAAGTTGTTATAATTCTGGCTTTGGGGTTTTGGTTTCTAGGGATTACTGAGAGCTGTCCATAATGAAGGCATGCAGGTACTCTCTCTCACTGAGTCTCCCTACAGTGATGGAGAGGACCATTCTGTTCAGCAAGTTTCAGAATTTTGGCTAGAAGAGAGAAGAGCTTACCTCAGTACGATCTCATCTCTTAAGGATTTAATTACCAAAATGCAAGAACAAAGAGAAGCCGAGGTACTCAAAGAATATTATGCATCTAAATAGTTTTATATTATTTTTATCGATAATAAGGCACTCAACAACTTAAATTATCTTTTATGGTGCTTTTTTACATGAATTACTATATATTGTTTGAATACCCCAAAACACACTTGAAAATAAATTTATATGCTCTTAAACTTTTAGTATTTATTTTGGTTAGTGGATTAATATCCTTTTTAGAATGTTTTTAAAACATGCTTATTTGAAAACTAACTTTTGTTTTTTATACTCTGCTAGGTGTTTGATAGTTCTCAACCTCACAAGAGCTTCTCAGACTGGCGAGGTGAACTTCTGCTTGCCCTTCAGCAAGTTTTCTTAAAGGAGCGCAGTGTTTTAATAGCCGCATTTCAGACTGAGCTAACAGCTCTAGGTACTAGAGATGCAGTTGGATTATTAAACTGTTTGGAAAAGAGAATACAAGAACAGGTATAAAAATGAAATTTTAAACAATACACTAGAAGAAAGAATGCTTTTTAATAATAATTAGAGAGTTATTGACTAGAGTAAGTCTGAAGGTTAAAATTTTAACACAGCCACCAAGAATATTTAGAAGAAAACTTATTTGTTCTTAAGTGCTGTCAAGTCGGCTCCAACTCCTGGCGACCCTATGAATGAATGATGTTCACAACGTCCTGTCCTCAGCAGCCCTACTCAGCTTCCATAGACTCGTGCCTATGGATTTCTTTATGCAGCCAGTCCATCTCGCATTTGCTCTTCCTCTTTTCCTGCTGCCTTCTACTTTTCCCAGAATTATTGTCTTTTCCCTTGAATCCTGCCTTCTCACGATGTGCCCAAAGTAGGACAGCCTCAGTTTTACCATTTTTGCCTCAAGCAATAGTTCAGGCTTGATTTGCTCTAGGAGCCACTCGTTCGTCTTTCTGGCAGTCCAGTGTATCTGTAGAGCCCTCCTCCAACACCATGTTTCAAATGAGTCAGATTTTTTTCCTATCAGCCTTCTTCCCTGTCCAGCCTTCGCACCTGTGCATAGTAATTGGGAATACAAGGATGTGGATACTCTTGGCCTTAGTCTCTTCCTTACACTTGATGATCTTTCCTAGTTCTTTCAGTGCTGCCCCTCCGAGTTTCTGTCTTCTCTTGATTTCTTGACTACAGTCTCCATTTAAATTGATGACTGAACCAAGGTAAACAAAATCTTTAACAATTTCGGTGTCTTCATTGTCTACTTTAAAGTTTTGTAATTCTTCTTAGTCATAATTTTTGTCTTTTTTATGTTCAAATGCAGTCCTACTTTGGTACTTTGTTTTTGTCAGAAGTTGTTTCAAGTCCTTGCTACTTTCTGGCAATAGTATAGTGTCATCTGCATACCTTAGATTGTTGATATTTCTTCTACCAATTTCCACTCCTTCATCTGAGTCTAGCCCAGTTTTTCTTTTTTCGTTTTGTTTTTAAAGACTATCCAAGACCAGTCTTAGACCTGCCACATCCTTCTACCAGATCTAGAATTTCCTGTTGGTATTCCGTTTTTTTAAAGGTATGCTTTTTGGTGAAGAATATTGGCCCTGAGCTAACATCTATTGCCAATCTTTTTTTTTTTCCCTCTCCCCAAAGTCCCAGTACATAGTTGTATATCCTAGTTGTATGTCCTTCTAGTTTTTCTACGTGGGATGCCACCACGGCATGTCTTGATGAGCAGTGTGTAGGTCCGCACCCAGAATCCAAACGAGTGAACCTCGGGCCGCCAAAGCAGAGCATGTGAACTTAACCACTACATCACTGGGCTGGCCCCCTAGCCCTGTTTTTCATATGACATCTTCTGCATACAGCTTAGATAGATAGGGAGATAAAATGTACCCTTGTCTGACACCTTAGCCTATAGGAAACCATTCTTTCTCTCCACATTCTGTCCTGACAGTGGCTTCTCAATACAGGTTACTCATCAGGACAATCAAGTGCTGAGGCATGCACATTTCTTATAGAGCAGCCCATAGCTTTTCATGATCCACGCAGTCAAAGGCTTTACTGTAGTCTATAAAACATAGATTAACCTTCTGAAATTCTTAGGAGCACTCCAGTAGCCAATGAATCATCACAATTAGATCTCACGTATTTTTCCGTTTTTGAAATTCAGCTTGAACATTAGGCATTTCTTGCTCCATATAAGGCAAGAACCTTTGTTGCAGCACCCTGAGCATCACTTTTCTTGCATGGGAAGTTAGAGCAATGGTCCTATAGTCACTGCACTCCCTGGCATTTCCTTTCTTGGGGATTGGGATATATAGTGAGCGTTTCCAGTCTATAGGCCTTTGTTTTGTTTTCCATTTTTGTTGGTATATTCGTGTTAGGATTTTGACAGATTCAGTCTCTGTGGCTTGAATTAATTCTATTGATATTCCATCTACCCCTGGTGACCTATTTCTTCCCACTGCTTTCAGGGCAGCTTCCACTTCACTTTCTAGGATTACTGGTTCTTCCTCATAGGAATCTGCTTCAAAGGAATCTGTCATCCTTTCATCTCTTCTGTCTAGATCTTCAGTTTACTGTTTCCACTTTCCGTTCGTTTTCTCCTGAACAGATAGTTTGCTTCCCTGTTGGTCGTTCAGCATTCCTAATCTAGGTTTAAATTTCCCTTTGATTTCTTGGATCTTATGGAAGAGACCCCTTCTTCCTTTTCTGTTGTTCTCTTCTGTCTCTTTGCATTGGCCATTTTAGGAGTTCTCTTTATCTCTAGGTGACAGTCGCTGAAAAGCTGCGTTCAGGATTCTAATCCTGCTTTTGTCACCTTTTACTTTTGCTTCTCACCTGTCCTTAACAAGTTTTGGTGTTTCTTCTGTCATCCATCTCGATTTTGCTTTTCTTTTTACTTCAGGCATTGTCTTTTTGCCTTCCTTCTTAATATTTTTAGATTCAGTCCATGGTTCTTCTGCTTCTTGGTCAATTAGGTTTAACAGTGCAAATCTGTTTTTCATATGGACTTTAAATTCATCGGGAATGTTGTTTATGTTATATTTTGGCACTACAATTCTTTTAGTGCTCTTCTTCAACTTTACTGTGATATTGGATATGAACACTTCACGGTCAGCACCACATTCCGCACCTGGTCTTGTTTTGGCAGGGAGAATACAGCTTCTCCATCTCCTACTTCCAATTGCATAGTCTGTTTGACTTTCACATTGGCCATCTGGTGATGTTCACGTATACAGTCGTCTGTTTCGTTGCTTGAAGCGTGTGTTTATGACAGACAGATTGTTGGCTTCGCAGAAATTCTCGAGCAACTACCATGCTTCGTTTCCGACCCCTAGTCCAAATTTTCCGATGATGTTTGATTCTTCTTTATTTTCCACTTTTGCATTCTAGTCACTTATAACTCTCAGCATGTCTTGTTTTGATGTATGGTCATTTTTTCTTGGATACTTGCATAAAAATTTATTACCTTAAATGTTTTATCTTGCATTAGAAAATTAAAAAGACTGAATATTAATGAGCTAATCATCCCATTTAGGAAGTTAAAAGAGCAATGGAATAATCCCAAAGAAACTAGAAGGAATAAGATAACAGTCACTTCTCATTATATGTAATAGTTAGAGTCTCTAAAGTTGCTTTAAATGCTGAGCCATTGCTACTAGGGGCAATACATGGGTAGGTTCCTGTGAGCCCCTAGTCACAACATTTTTGTCAACCAATCAATAGATGACCTTGTTTTATGTGTGTTTCTGATTGACGCCTTATTTATTAAATATTGCTGATTCATTAATGTTGAACTCATGGCCAATAGCTCTCTAACTCATGCCTAAGCAGTGCTCATCTAACACCTGTATTTTCTCCATAAAAAACATGACAGCTGGTGCTGGCCCAAAGGCATAGTGGTTGGGTTCGCATGCTCCACTTCAGTGGCCTGAGGTTCACAGATTCAGATCCTAGGCGTGGACCTACACACCATTCATCAAGCCATGCTGTGGCAGCATCCCACATACAAAATAGAGGAAGGTTAGCAGAGATGTTGGCTCAAGGACAATCTTCCTCAAGCAAAAAGAGGAAGATTGACAACAGATGTTAGCTCAGGGTGAATCTTCCTCAGCAAAAAAAAAAAAAAAAAAAAAAGGAATGAAAATGGGATCATAACTAAATATATAGTTGAGATATAAAAATAGAATATTATGAATAATTTTATGTAAATTAAAAACTTGGGTGAAATGGATAGACTTTCTGGAAAAATATTATTTATCAAAATTCATTCAGGAAGAAATACCCTGAAAAGACCTATAACTAGTAAAGGAATCAAATCAGTAGTTAAAAATCTTCTTGTAGCACTTAGCACCAAGATCTTGATTTTTCACTACATTCTCCATTAGAAGTAAATAAGACTCCTTGGAGAAATGGCACATTCCGGGGCTGGAACAAGGAAGTACAAGATGAACCTGGAATATCTTGTTTTGCTGACAAATAAGGAATTGTTCAAAGAATGAAGAAGATACGTCAAAAGGTCACAGAACACAGCCTGAAGGAATTCCAACTAGCCAAATTTAGGACAATTTGAACATCAAATTAAGTAAGATAGTGACAGATTATAAACCAAAGAGTAAAATAAGAATTCATAAATTCATACTAATATAAATAAATGAATAAAAATTCTTTCTTACAGTAGAATGCCAACCAGTGTGTAGAAGAAATGATAGAATTAGTAAATCACTAATTCATTAAACACTATGGTAATAATCGACCAAATAAAGTGAGTATGAAAAAGTTTGATCAGGAAAGTGTATTTACATAGTCTCAAAGTAAGTCTCCAGAAAATCCTTTTTAATTACAAAAGGAAAAGTAATAACTTTATAGTAGAGAAACCCTGCTTAACCAAGTGATCAGAGTTGATATCACCAGTAAGGGAACACGCTGACATTGAGTACTTCCTGATATAAAGGTTGTAACATCACTTTTGTGGTACTTCTGTTAAATGCATAACCAAAATCTACTCATAGGGAAATATTGGACATAAACAAATTGAGGGCACTACACATCTCTCAAAATGGCCAAAATAAAAATTAGTGACAGCACAAAGTGCTGAGAGGATACAGAGAAATTGCATCTCATACATTGCTGAAAGGAATGTAAAATGGGAGAGCCACTCTGCAAAATGACCTGGCAGTTTCTTATAAAGTTAAATATATATTTACCATACAACCTGGAAGTCACACTCATAGGCATTTAATCAGATATGAATACTTATGTCTCCATAAAAACTATGTATCAGTATTCATAGCAGTCTTATTTATAATAGCCAGAAACTGGAAACAACCCAAATGTCCTTTGATAGGTGAATGGATGAGTAAACTAGGACATCCATACAATGAAATACTACTTGGCAATTAAAAAGGAACAAACTGTTGCAAGACTTTTGTGTGTTATATAACCCTCTTGAAATGACAAAATTATAGTGATAGAGAACGGATCAGTGATTATCAGGGCTTAGGAGTGGGGAGAGGATGAAACAGTTCTATATCTTGATTGTGGTGGTGGTTACATGAACCTATATACATATATACATATGATAAAATTTCCTGGTACTGTATACCAAGAAAAAGAATGAATGCATGTAAAAACTAATGAAATCTGAATAAACCCTATAATTTAAGTAGTATTGCACCAATTTCAGTTTCCTGGGTTTGGTAATGTACTATAGTTATGTAAGATGTTATCAGGAAAGCTGGCTAAAAGGGTACACAGGGACTTTGTCTCACATTATTTCAAAATAAAAAGTTTTTAAAAATTGAGGGACATGCTACAAAATAACTAGGTCACAAAAGAAAAAGGGTCATCACTTTTTTCCCCCTTTTGCTATTAAGGACATTTGGCAAAATTTGAATGAACTTTGTTCATTAGATGGCAGTATTGTTTTCATGTTAATTTCCGCATTTGATAATGGTACTGTGGTTTGTAAAAGAATGTTCTTGTTTTTAGGAAATATACACTGTGGTTTTTAGAGGTAAAGGGGCATCTGTCTGCAACGTGTCTTCACACATTTTGGGAAAGAAAAATAATCATATGTGCATGTATTTGTGTAGATATACACACACAGGTATATAAAGAGAGAGAGTGTGTGAGAGAGAGAATGATAAAAATGGTTAACATTTAGGGAATTTGGATGAGGGTATGCGGGAATCCTTGCGCAATTTTTGGAGCTTTTCTGTAAGTCTGAAATTGTCAAAATATAAAATTAAAAACAATTTTTAAAAAATCTCTCCATAAGAATTACACCAAGCCCAAATGGTTTTACAGGTAAAATCTACCAAATATTCAAAGAATAGCAAATTCCAGTTTTATATACATGCTCTCCATTTTTGGATGAGTGGGGAAATGCCCTATCTTTTTGTCAGGAAGTTAGTATAACCCTGTTACCAAAATCAGACAAAGATAATACAAGAAAGAATAATAATAGGCCTATTCTATTCATGAACATAGATGCAGAAATCCTAAACAAAATACTAACAAACCAAATCCACCAATGTATATTCTTTAAAGACACGACCACCTTACACTTAGCCAGGGATACCAAGGTAGCATACATACCATTAAAAATAATTCATGTAATTCATTACTTTAACAAGTTAAAGGGGAAAGGGAAAAGAAAAATCATCTCAAGAGAGACAACAAATAAGCAAAATGAAGAAATTCATACTTGAAAATACTTTAAAAGAAATAAACAAAAAATAAAAAGGAATTTCTTAAACTAAATAAAAGGTTTATCTAACACAAACCTACGACAAGCATGATACCTGATAGTTAAATGATAGAAACATTTCTTTTTTTTTTTTTAAAGATTGGCACCTGAGCTAACATCTGTTGCCAATCTCTTTTTTTTCTTCTTCTTCTCCCCAAAGCCCCTCAGTACATAGTTGTATATTCTAGTTGTAGGTCCTTCTGGTTGTGGCATGTGGGACGCCACCTCAGTGTGGCCTACCTAGTGGTGCCAGGTCCACCCCAGGATCCAAACCCTGGGCTGCCAAAGCAAAGTGCACAAACTTAACCACTCGGCCACAGGGCTGGCCCCAATAAAAACATTTCTTAATAAAGGGTTCAGTAATCTGTTCAGCCTTATCCTAAAGATCTAGCTAGCACAGCAAAGCAAGAAAAATAAATGAAATAAATAAGGATTGGGGCTGGGGGAGACCCCCCATGTACTTACATAGAAAACCAAAAAGAATCTACACAGAGACGTAGAATTTATAAGAAAGTTTGGTAATGCTGCTGGAAGTAAGATCAAGAGGTAAGTAAAAATCTGATTTCTCAACAACAAACAAAATGTAATTTTAAAAATAAATATTTGCAATAGTATTAAATGGAAAAATTCCTAAAAGTACACAGACTACCAAAAGTAACTCATGAAAAATAGAAAATCTGAACAGGCTTTTAATAAAGAGTTAAATTAGTAATTTTAAAACTTCTCAAAGAAAAGCTAAGGATCAAGTGGCTTCACTGGCAAATTCTACCAAATGTTTAAAGAAGAATTAATACCAATCCTTCACAGACTCTTCCCAAAAAAAGAAGAGACGGGAACACTTCCCAACCCATTCTCTAAGGCCAGCATTGCTGTGATTCCAAAACTAGACAGACATCACAAGAAAAGAAACCTACAAACCCCAAATAGCCAATGAGAATAAAACAACCAATGAAAAAATGGACAAATGATACAAACGAAGGACAATAAAGAGGATCCAATAAATATAAGATGCTCAAAATGTAATGTATTATTCATACTGTGGAGTACTATAGAACATTGAAAATAAGTGAAATAGAGTGACGTGTGTCAACTTGGGTGGTTCACCAACATGTTAAGTGAAAAAGGCATATGACACTAAGATAAATACAATATGGTGCTATTTATATAAACTTTTAAAATATTTTGAATTCTTCAAAAATAAATGTAAAGATTAATAACTAAAAAGTAAATCCTAATGAGCAGGAAGAGAAAATTAATATCTTTCAAAATTTTACTATGTGTGTTCCATTCATTCTTCTTCAGACTTCCTAGTTCTTAATTTTATTGTCTTTACAACTCTTTCACTTGGATTTTTACCTTGATTGTTACAGGGTGTTGAGTATCGCGCAGCTATGGAATGTCTCCAGAAAGCAGACAGAAGGAGTTTATTATCTGAAATTCAAGCACTGCGTGCTCAAATGAATGGTAGGAAAAGAGAACAAGAAAATGATCAACCAAGCCAAGGTGTGTTTTATGACGAGCTTATATGGTGACACAATACATGAATAATATTTCACTGTTTCATTTCTTCCTGTTATTATTCAGTTGAAACACATTTCCTCTTAGTCACACCTTCTTCTCGTTCTTATAACATCAAGGAGATAATCTACATTAATTACTCTAGGGATTAAGGGATTATCTGATTGGTATTCAACTCCTGTGTTTAATGTAAAAGGATCCTTGCCTTGATCTGGTTGTTTAGCCCATTAAGTTCATTATCTTTGTTTTTAAGCTCTATATGAGAATACTCACCTAAAAGAAAAAGAAATCCATAATGAGAGTAACTTTCTTTTTTAATCCTTTTTTTATTGTGAATTGTAGCATACATACAGAAAAGTGCCAAACACAAAAATACACAGTATAACAAATTATTAAGTGCATATCTGGAAACATCACCTATACCAAGTATCCCAGAAGCTCCCTTCCCAAACACATGCTTCTCCTATTTATAGTATTGTGTGAACATTTAAAGGGTTTTTTTTAATTTCAAATCTTGTATCCATTAATATGTTCTGTTAAACTTTTCTCATCCTTATATATTTACAGTTCTGATATATTGACCGTTATCACTGTGAGGAAAAGTATATTTATATAAATTGCTAAATTGCTAGCTTTTTAGGACTATAATCTTTTCACATTTGCTTTGTAGTATCTCCTAAATTACAAATCAGTACTTATCAACAAAATATAAACCCAATATGAGTGGCTAGATCATACTTTAAATATTATTACTTTTCCATTTAGAACTCTTGGAATATAATATGCAGCAGAAGCAGTCTCAGATCCTGGAGATGCAAGTGGAGCTGAGTAGTGTGAAAGACAAAGCAACAGAATTACAAGAACAGCTGAGTTCTGAGAAAATGGTGGTTGCCGAACTGAAGAGTGAACTTGCACAAACAAAATTGGAACTAGAAACAACACTCAAAGCACAGCATAAGCACCTAAAGGAATTAGAGGCATTTAGGTGTGCCAAGCTTTCTTATATAAACCTGTATTAGTAAAGAAATTCAAGTAATTATGTCATAGACATTGCACAGATCCTACAAAAACATAACATTGTACATGATGTTTAAATAGCATGAAACTGTTATTTATGGGGAAAACTACAGTGGATAGGAAAAATGCCAAATGATAAACTCATGAGTAGATATTGCCATATTCTTTACTGTAACTTCAGTTCTACTTCAGGCTTCTTGTTGTATGAGATATATAATTTTGAGGGGCTGGCCCCATGGCCGAGTGGTTGAAGTTCCACATTCCACACTGGTGGCCTGGGGCCTGGGGTTCACAGGTTGAGATCCCAGGTGAGGACCTATTCCACTCATCAGCCATGCTGTGGAGACATCTCACGTACAAAGTAGAGGAAGATTGGCACAGATGTTAGCTCGGGGCGACTCTTCCTCACAGAAAAAAAAAAAAAAGATACATAATTTTGACCTTTATTTTACCACCAAGTAATTTGAATTGATTTTTATGATCTCAACAGGATTCATGGTTCAGTTAGCTAAAATATGCAAAATGTTTTAAAAGATAATGCTTGTAAACACAATAAATTTGTTAGTGTAAATACAGAGATACTCTGCTTGCCAAGAACACATTATAGATACAGTCATTCTTTATTTTGAATATTGGTTTCACACACACAAACATACATGGCAATTCCCATGTTCAGTAAAAGAGAAAAGAAAATGTTTAGTATTAATATTCTTTTGTAGCAATAAATTGTTTGCAATGGTAAATAAAGACTAATAGTTGTACTACTAGAAACAGTTTGAAATGAGCCACAGTCAAGAATCTTTAATCTTTACATCGTTTATATTTCCCTATCAGCTAATTTATAATATGCCTCTGGTTTTCAGTGGAAATTGTTCTTTTCTCTTTCTCTCTCGATATGTACTTGGGCAAAATAGTTTTATGAAAGTTCATTTGTCTGTCTGATTTAGGTTGGAAGTTAAAGATAAAACAGATGAAGTCCATTTGCTTAATGACACATTAGCAAGTGAACAGAAAAAGTCGCGAGAGCTCCAGTGGGCTTTGGAGAAAGAGAAAGCCAAACTGGGACGCAGTGAAGAGCGGGATAAAGAAGAACTTGAGGTATTGTTAACTTTGTCTTTAAGTGTCTGTGGAAAACCCAAAACAATAGAAGAGAGAGAGTCTGGAGACTTTGCTCTTTCTAAAGGTGACGTAACTGTAAGTTGTTAACTGTGTGTTGAATAGTATTATGTTATCTAAACTGTATTATCAGGAAATGCTAATGTTGTGATGATTTATTTTTTGTTTTACTACATCCAAGGATATGTACAGACTGTTCTGCTACAGCATGTGTTTTTGGAATTCAGATTAGTGCACATACAATTTGATAAATAGGGCAGTCGGGTCAGTTTAATGCAGAAGTAGTTCTGGTTCCTGTTTTCTCCTGGGGGAGGGTGATACTTCTCTGGCAGCAGGGCTCCTTGCTGCTCTATTTTAAGAAAATTTAAGATGAGTCCCTCCACTCTAGGCTCTCTCCCAGAGAGGCACACCCAGCCTTGCGCAGCTCTCAGCTCAAGAGAGTAGTGCCCACTTTAACTGTAGCCTCACTGGCTCAGAGCTCTGTTGTTAATCCACATAATCTCGGTACCTGCTACCTCTATGCTAAAAAATTGTGTAGCCAGCATCTCTTCCCTATTACTTTGGCGTTTTTGTGTGTTTTTTTTTTATATCCACCATGGCAGCTTCCAGGCATAGTAAGCTCTCTACTCGGCAGAAACATGTTATCTCCTCAGATACTAACTACTATTTTTTATCATTGCAAATTTTATAAGTTTGCATAGTTTGTCCCTGAGCCCTATTATTTTTAGTGTGATATTGTAGAACTTGAGGTTTTTCAGAAATTCAAATTACATTATATCAGAAATACTTATATTTTTAAAAATTATTATTCCTAGGAGAAATGCACCGTTTCATATTCTCTAACCAGTTATGATTAAAGTTTGGGGAGAAAGTATTATTAAGCTTAGCAATCTTTTGTTTATATTCTTTGATGAAAACCAACTGGCTGTCCAAATAATTATTTTCTAACCACTGAAAATTTAATAAACTGGATAATTAATTCTATTACCAAATACTACCTACTTAGTATTAATAAAGGCACAATTGTATACTTATAAAGTGTTTTTAGTAATATTAAAATAACAAGTTCTTAAACTCAACTTTCTCCTACAAGGATCTGAAATTTTCACTTGAGGGTCAGAAACAAAGAAATATTCAGCTAAATCTACTTTTGGAACAACAGAAACAACTACTAAACGAATCACAGCAGAAAATAGAATCACAAAGAGTGCTACATGATGCCCAGTTATCAGAAGAACGAGGTCGAAACTTAGAGCTTCAAGTCCTTCTTGAATCCGAAAAAGTTCGAATTCAGGAAATGAGCAGTACCCTGGATAGGGAGCGGGAATTGCGTGCACAGCTGCAGAGCAAGGATGATAGTGGGCAGCCTCGTCCCTCCTTATCCTCTGAGGACCTCCTTAAGGAGCTACAGAAACAGCTAGAGGAGAAACACAGTCGCATAGTAGAATTGTTAAATGAGACTGAGAAATATAAACTGGATTCTTTGCAAACAAGACAGCAAATGGAAAAGGATAGGCAGGTTCACAGGAAGACACTGCAGACAGAACAAGAGGCCAACACTGAGGGCCAGAAAAAAATGCACGAGCTCCAGTCCAAAGTGGAAGATCTTCAGCGTCAGCTGGAAGAGAAAAGGCAACAAGTTTATAAGTTAGACCTTGAAGGAAAGCGACTGCAAGGAATTATGCAGGAATTCCAGAAGCAAGAACTAGAACGGGAAGAAAAACGAGAAAGTAAAAGAATTCTGTGTCAGAATCTTAATGAGGTAAATTGACACTTTGTTTTAAAATATTTTTTAAAAGAATACTGCAGCTCTTTGATCATATGATTTTGACATTGGATTAAATTATTTAAATAACTGTGTAAAAGTCATTTGAAAATGAAATCTATAGAAGTTTATTTGAAATACAAACAATAATTGTATTCCCTTAATAAAGAACATGATTTGCTGTTCATTTAATTATTGCTTTTCCTTTTTCTCTCCAAAATTGCCAGCCAACCACATGGAGTTTAACCAGTGATCGAACTAGAAATTGGGTTCTTCAACAGAAAATAGAAGGAGAGACAAAGGAATCAGGCTTTCCTAAACTGATTGAAATGAAGGGAAGAGGAACTGTCTGTAATCAGGAATTAGAAATGATCAGACAAAAGCTTCAATATGTGGCTTCAAAACTACAGCATCTAGCCCAGAAAGCCTCCGACAGGTTAGACTTTTCTGCCTGACCTTTGGAAATGCATTCTTAGACAAGCTGGACAGAATCTGTCACTCACTAATAGGTAGCTAAGGGTGGGGAATTGAAATTTTAAAGTTAATGCATGTTTCCATTAGGAGATGATATTTGTGACAAAATTCATGCACCTAAAAACAAATATCTTAACACCTTAACCCAGGGAAATAGAGCACTTTACGTAAGAGAAAAGTGATAGGTGAAGCAGAGTGTCGCCTGATCCTTAATGTTTGTGCCACTCAGCATCACTAATTGAGAAGATATGTTTTGACTTTTTGTCTTTTTCTTGAAGACTACAGTTTGAAACAGCAGATGATGAAGATTTCATTTGGGTTCAGGAAAATATTGATGGGATTATTTTACAAGTACAGAAATTAACTGGCCAGCCAGGCGAAGAGGTAAGACTGTAAGACTTTGTAAAGTATCAAAAAGCAAAGATTTAATGGAAACTATATGAATCATTTGAAACTGGCACCATACTCTAGTCTCCCCTTTTCTGCGGGGGATACGTTCCAAGACCCCCAAGGGGATGCCTGAAACTGCAGATAGTACCAAACCCTATATATACTATGTTTTTTCCTATACATACATACCTGTGATAAAGTTTAATTTATAAATTAGGCACAATAAGAGATTAACAACAATAACAATAAAATAGAATAATTAATATACTATAATAAAAGTGATTTCAAAATATCTTAGTGTACTCATCCTTCTTCTTGTGGTGATGTGAGATAATGCACTGCCTGCATGATGAGATGAAGTGAGATGAATGACGTAGGCATTGTGACATAGTATTAGGCTACTACTGAACTACTGACAGTAGGTCAGAAGGAGGATCATCGATCTATGATGATGTCTGTGGTTGGATGTTAGGAGCAGATGGTGTGGGTGGTTGGGGAGCCAACAAAGGGATGATTCACGTCGTAGGTGGGACAGAGCAGGAAGGCATGAGATCATCATCATCTCAGAATGGCATGTGATTTAAAACTTATGAGTTGTTTATTTCTGGAATTTTCCATTTAATATTTTCAGACCACAGTTGACTGCAAGTAACTGAAACTGTGGAAAGTGAAACCACATATAAGGGGAGACTACTAAAGAATTTTATCTTCTCATTTATTTTAAACATTAGTGATAATGTTTGCCTTCTCCCAATAAAAGGTAGTGAAAGTTTGAGGGAAAATTAACTTGCATTATCATTACTGAATAGTTACGTTATCCTCTTATTGTATAATGATAACCAAGTTTCTTGAAAGAGTTGTCTGGCTGTCTACCCTCACCACTCCGTGAAACTACCTTCAGAATGCTACTAGTGTCTTCACAATTATCTAACTTGGTGAATCTTTTCAGTCCCTGTCTGTCTTTTTTTTTGTAGCATTTGACACTTTTGACCTCTTCTACCTTAAGAACCCTCTTTTTCCTTATCTTTTGTGTCAGCAGTCTCTCATTTCTTCCATTTCGTTCATCATTCACCTTTATGAGTTCCTCTTCCTCCTGTATCTTCATCCATTTGTTTCCCCAACTATAGGTATGAAAGCTCATTCATTCCCACAGCCTGAGTCCTCAGTAGACTTATTCATTGAACAAATACTTATATCGGGCACCTATGTTCCAGGTACTGTACTGGGTTCTGGGGATACAATGAACAAATCTGATAAAAATCTCACCCTTTTGGAGCTTATCTCCTAGTGGACTGTGGTTCTAGTCTAGACTTTAGTCCTGTAGTCCAGGTTTATATTTTCAGTTAGTTACTAGACATCTTTCCTTGGGGAAATGTACCCCATAGTGACCCCTCAAGAACCTCACAAGCACATTCCAAACTGAGCATCATCTGCCTTTTCTCCTTTCTGTCCAAAACCCACATTTCTGGTCATGATATAACCAAGTTTAGAAAGCTGAAAGTCACCATAGTCCTCCGTCCTTCACTCTTACTTGCACGTCCAAGCAGTCACTAAGTCATGTGCCTTCTACCTCCTGAATATCTATCCCATGTGCCCATAGTGACTGCCTTCATTCAGGCCTTCAGCATTTCTCGTTTGGACTGTTGCAGTAACGTCCTAACATGTCTGCCTGACTCCAGGATTTATCTTCCCTGATTTACTCTACTTTGTACACTGCTACCAAAGGAATCTTTCTAACATGTAAATTTTGTTTGTGGCGTGCTCCAGCCTAAAGCCTTATCATGGCTCTCCACTGCTTACATTTAGGTCTACTATCCATAAAGTGAAGGCAACCTTTACTTTCTAGCCTTAACCAAGCAACTTATAGTTCCCTAAAAGCAACACACTCTTGCTCAAGCCTCTGTGCCTTTATACATGCTCTTCCTTCTGCTTAAGGTACCCTTCCCTGTCTTCTTTCCTGCCTGGTAAATTTGTACTTATTGTTTAAGACTCAACTCAAGCATCACTTCTTCATGAAATCTGTTGTTCTCAGTGCCTGTCCACATTTTTATATGCATTATTCACAAACATTTATGTGTATGTGACCTTATGCCATTTTGTCTTTCTAGTCTAGCTTAGTGTCCCCAAGTACTTCTTCTGGCTCATTGACTGAAAGACTACTGAGACAAAATGCTGAGTTGACAAGACATATCAGCCAACTGACCGAAGAAAAGAATGATTTAAGAAATACGGTTATGAAGCTGGAAGAGCAGATCAAGTGGTATCAACAGACAGGAGCCGGCAGAGATTACGTACGTCTATTTTTAGCATGGCCACATATTATAAGTAGTGCAGAGTTATAATTTCTGCTATTTAGTTTCAATTTTTAATCTTGATAATGTAAAAATATTAGGTAGCTGATTCTTAGATCATTGGAAAATTTTATAGGGATGGCAATAATAATAATAGCTATTATTTATTGGGAGCCTTCTCTGTGCCATATTCTGAGTTATATACCTTCAGAATCTCTAATCCACACCCAGCCTTGCACAGGAGAAAACTGAAGTTCGTAGTCAAACCAAGATCTACTTATGTCCAAAGCCAGTTACTTTGCTCTCTATGGACCAACATCAGACATGTGTAAAGAAATGTGCAAATGTAAATTCTGACTATTCCCATCAGTTATTTATCAGTTATTGTATTCATAACTTAAGTGAAAGATGCCATTAAACTATGTCTTTCAGTCTAATAAACTACTCTGGGAATTTATTTAAAATTTTTTCACGTAAAAACTACAAAATAAATTGCTAGCTTCTATAATCACCCTATATAAAGATAGGGAAGACCTATAAGACAACTGTGCAGTCAAATACATGATAACACATCCAGACAGCTTCTGTAGGGATCCACTTCCCTATGTACATGCTGGGTGGCTTTTTCCCTGCTTCTCCAGTGCAGTCTTTCAGGGACGGGCTCAGCATTTAGACCCAGATGGTCCATCTATTAAGTCTAGATTTTTTTAGTTCAAAGCTCCACTAAATCTAAACACCTTCTCTGGGGCCAGGCTTTCACAAGGCTTTTTAGTTGTAAAGTTAATCTACTCAGCAAAGGACCATATACTTAAAGTTAGTGTATGTTCTTTAACGTCAGTTGACATTGGCTTAGCACTTTCCCTGTCTGAGTTTGGAAAGCTGAGACTTCTATATCTCCCATAGGGAACTTTTAATTTGTTTAATTCAGATTTTTTCCCGAAGACTTATTCTTAAAAATCTTTCAAGTAGGCTCTGGTCTCTGCAGTCTTCTAGGTTTTCATTCAGTGGTGGCGCCAACATTGGAGCCATCATTGCTTCTGAAAAAGAAGTCTGGAACAGAGAAAAGTTGACTCTCCAAAAATCCTTGAAAAGGGCAGAAGCTGAAGTCTACAAACTGAAAGCTGAACTAAGAAATGAAGCTTTACTTCAGAATCTGAGCCCTGATTCTGAAGCCACTATAAAGGTAGGAAACATCTTCCATCTAAATATAAACTGAAGCTGGTCCTTGCTTTTGCCTTGGTTCATCTCTCACTAACCGTAATAGAACAGGCTAAAGAAATTTAGGTGGTGCTCAGCCCGTGTCTCTAGGTCTCTCTATTCAGTCCACGTCATGAATGAAGGTCTCTAGCTGGTCACAAAAATTTGTGGCAAGGCATACCCCAGGTCTTGGACCAGATTAAGCCCTATTAATGGTCACAGTGGCAGCACCCTGAACTCATGGTCCCACTTCCCACAGCCTCATTCTTAGTAGACCAACAGAAAGTTATCTTTTCAACCCCAACAAAAGCTCTGCTGTTGTCAATATTAGAGCATCGTGCTCTCTAAGATGGTGAGCCCTCTGAATAGCCTCTCTGATGACTAATGATGAATACTGTAGTAAAACTACCTTAATCAGTTAACATAAAACAAAAAAAGAGAAATGGCTGAAATGTTCATTCCAGCTATGGAGTAAACATAAATTTATGACTCTTAAGGTGACAGAAAACATTAACATTGAAAAAGTTAAATAGATTAGTGACCATAATAATAAAAGTAGCTCTATACAATTTAAAAAACTCAGATGATAATGGAATGACAAAATATTTGCAATAAATATGATTAAGGCTAAAATCCACCATAAACAAAAAGCATAACTATAAGGTTAGTATACAGATTCCATTGACTAAAAAAAGGCAGAAGTATAAAGGTTAAGGTTAATTATCTTTACTTTCAACTTTGCTAATAAAGTAGAAACCAGTGATAAGGTACCTGCCATTTTTCTACTACTGCTACTACTTTTTTTAAACAAAATCTAGATTGTCTTCCCATAGAGAACAATTTGAATAGCGTCTTAATGTCTTTATATGTTTCCTCTTTTTAAACATAGAGAATTTATGGTAAATACCTGAGGGCAGAAAGTTTTCGGAAAGCTCTCATTTATCAGAAGAAATACCTGCTGCTGTTACTGGGTGGATTCCAGGAGTGTGAGGATGCCACCCTGGCTCTGCTTGCCCGGATGGGGGGCCAGCCAGCCTTCACGGATCTAGAGGTGATCACCAACCGTCCAAAGGGCTTCACCAGGTTTCGGTCTGCTGTCAGAGTGTCCATGGCAATTTCGAGGTAAAGTGCTTGAAAGAAAATGCATTTTAATAGACTCTAAAAGGATTAGCCAGCCCTGGTGGTCTAGTGGTAAAATTTGGCACTCTCACCACCACAGCCAGGATTTATTTTCCGGTCAGGGAACCACACCACTCGTCTGTCAGTTGTCATGCTGCGGCTGTGTGTTGCTGTGATGCTGAAAGCTATGCCACCAGTATTTCAAATACCAGCAGGGTCACCTATGGTGGACAGGTCTCAGCGGAGCTTCCAGGCTGAGACAGACGAGGAAGAAGGACCTGGCCACCCACTTCCAAACAATTTGGCCATGAAAACCGTAAGAAGAACAGCAGAGCATTGTCTGATATAGTGCTGGAAGGTGAGAGGACGGGGCAAAAAGACCTGGCAGGGTTTTGCTCTGCTGTACACGGGGTTACTAGGGTCAGAAGCAACTCAACAGCACTGACAGCTAAAGGGATTAGTTATTTTTAATCCTCTCTCTTTTCTCTGCCTGTTGTACTCTGTATTCCTATAGTAGGTGACGTCTGCCATTACCAAAACATGCCTGCTGCTTCCTAGGTCTTCATCCTTTTGGCAGGGATACCTGATGTTGTACTATAGCACCTAGGAAAGGGGCCTTCCCAGGTGCAGGCAGCTAGTGATGACTCAGAGCTGGTACATACATTCTGCATTGTCTCTATCTTTTTTTTTTTTTTCAATATGAATAAGCCTGTGAACTAGCTGAGATATATAAATAAAAGAAATCGTAAGAGAGGAAAAAAGTGTTTTTGAAAAATTACTTAGTCTGACATACTTTCATTTACTTTATTACTAAAATAACCAGAATTACTAATAGTCCAAAATGTCACTTCACAGATGAGGAAACTGAGGCAGAGAGAGGTTGCAAAACCAGTAATGACAGAGCTAAGACAACCAGCCAGGGTTCCCAGTCTCATCCATGCTGGCTTTCTAAGGGAGCTCACATTTTATCTTATTGATGGTCTCAGACCCTCCTCACCTCTACTGCTCCACATTGTCGTCTCCTGGTTCCAGGTCCTCTTCCCTCATCTTTCATTCCCTGCATCACCTAGTACACCTTCTACAGGGTTAAGTGCTAGGAGATGCATTAATGAAGAAAAAGACATATCCTGCCACAGGTAATCGCTGCCCAAATCCCTAAGGGTGGCTCACTTTCTAGTAGGGAAGACCAATATGCATGTAACTTAGAAAACACTAAATGAGAGGTCACAGGAGTGAGCAGTTCATTTTCATTGGAGGAATTTGGGAAGGCTCCATGAAAGCCATTTGTCTCTGTCTCTGCCTTCCTCTTTTTCTTGTCCTGTTATATGTTCGTTATATTTTGACCTTCAAACAACCTTGAAAACTGATTGGAATTAAGAAACCCAAACTGATGCTCCAAAAAGCTCTTTGAGCCAGGACAGGGCAGGCAGCAACTCACTACAGCTGGTTTGTGACACTGCTGCCCCTGTTCCTCTTGAAGCCAGTGTTGCTTTCATTCCTGATTATGTGACCTCACTCCTCTTCCAGCTTTCCCAGCTCACTCTTAGTGCCAATTGAAGGATCTTTTCATTCTCTTTCCATTTCATCTGCCCTTTTAGTCTCCGTTCTTTTCTCCTGTTTTCATTACTCCTCACCCTTTCTTTGCCCATCCCCTTTCCTCTTTTCTACTTCTGCTCTCCATTTCTTTGTGTACCATGTACCTCTAAAGCCAGAACCTGGTGCTGGCAAAAGAAGAGACCTCTGGTGCCTCTAGGGAAGCCCTGTTCTAGTTAATTTTACCACAAACCAGGGGACATTTGCATAGTTTTAGATGAGGTAATCGTCATTATATTGAAATTTGTTCTGTGTTCATATTTAAATGTATGACTTGATTTTTAGGGGAAGTGTATATTTATACTCATTACATTATAGGTGTGCTGTGAAATTTTTTCTTTGGATCTTTTTTAGAATGAAATTTTTGGTTCGACGATGGCATCGAGTCACAAGTTCTGGTTCCATCAACATTAACAGGGATGGCTTTGGACTGAGTCCAGGTGAAGTCAAAATAGAATTTTTTCTTGTGTTTATGATTCTCTAAAATTACTGCATGTGTAATACCTTCCAAATAATGTGTTCTAGAACCTGTGTTGTCCAAAGACAGAGCCCTTATAGCTAACAAAGCTGGGGACCTTGCTGTTTTAAAATTAATAAGAATTGTTTTTTATAGAGCACTGAGTCTGCACTAAGCCCTGCTTTTTCCATTTATTTTCCAAGTTCTATGATATGTTTTACTGTTATTATCACTTTACAGATGAAAAACTGAGGCATGGAAAGCATTTGTCATTTGCCCTGGATTACCCAGTAAGAAGAGATGGAGCCAGCATTGAACCCTGGCATTCTGGCTCCAGAGCACACTCCCCTTACATCTACATTTAAGGCTCTGGGTCAAGACAGGATGGCTGTTAATCTTGTGAAAATTATGGCTTGAAGTTTTCACAATTTAGCAATATTCAGACAAGCTTCTGAGTATACCAATAGGTTGTATAATAATGGTAACAGTTAAAATTCCTTCTCTCTACACCTGGAAGTGGAAACAGACATAAGGGCTTCAACATTTCAGACATAGGATGAGCTCAGAAGCTGGGGAACACACAGAGTTACAGACACACAGCATAACCATACTGTGTATTGGTGTTAAACCACCTTTACATATTCTACCAGTAGCTGAGCAGCAGAGGAAGAGTGAATATATTTAGTATCCTAAACAAAGTGTTTTGAAAGCTGCACCCTTACACTGCCACATCTGAAATGTGTACCATGACAAGTTCTGTTTTGTAAGTTAGCAAATCTTGATTTCAGGTTTTTGCTAATAAACGTCAGTAGAATGGAGTGATAAAAGAACTTGTTTACATTAGTCTGATATTTTTTACCCCCATATTTTCCTCCCAAACCACACACACAGACACCCCTCACCTCACCACTAGTTATAACTAAAAAGAGGTCTTTTAAAAAGAAAATACTCTAATTAAACAGTTTATTTTCTGTGAAGTATAGTTCCAAATTATCGGAAATACTCATTTTCAAAAGTAAACAACATGGTGCTGCTGTTTCTCTCCTGTAGCAAGAATAATTGAAAATGACTATATAGAGGAGAGAGTGTAACATAGTACAGCATAGCAGTCTTGTGAGCCCTTTTCTGTTTTGTAGAAATTTTTCAAGGGCTTGGTATTTTTTTTCTTTACAAGGTGCATTTTGGATTACTTTAGGTGCTGAAAGGACTGAGCCGTTTTATCGTCCTTCCGGTGGGCTGGAGCTGTACGGAGAACCGCGACACTCTACCTATCGCTCAGGATCAGACCTGGACTGTCCCAGGTCGCCTCTGCCTTTTCACAATAGGCAAGAATTTGATAAACTCTGCCTAGAGTAGTTAAGTGTACTAATACTTAACAGAGAAGGGACAGTGTTAGGGCTTTGACTTCTTTGCACTGAAATAGCTAGATGTATCTTTAGTCATATAGGATTTACATACCTAAGGCTCAGAATCAAATAGTTTTTGAATTTGTACCAGGTTTCCAAGAGTACAGGAAGCAGTTGATCAAGTCTTACTTAGTATCTATGCTGTGGTTAAACATTGGGGAAAAGTATTAACTAAAATTGATAGAGACTGGACAGTATGAAAAAACTAGAGTCTGCGTGACAAGATGCATTTATACATATGCAACATTTATTGAGCACCTCTGCAACAGGCATTGTACTGGACATTCTTATGATCACTTAGTAGCAGCTTTGAATTTGTTTTCCCTTATACATTGCCCACTCAGAAGTACAGGGGATATAGACTGGCAGTGTACAAGTGGTCTACCTTTTGAGGGCAGGGTGGAGACAGGTTGGTAAGTTACTTGCACTGTTTCTGGCTAATTTAGATTCATGTTCATGTTTTTAATCTCATAGGTACCCAGGCCCTCTAGCTGATTTAAATCCTGGTTCCTTAGCATGTTCTCAGCTTCAGAATTATGATCCTGACAGAGCCCTGACAGATTATATCACTCGGCTAGAGGCACTGCAAAGACGACTTGGAACCGTACAGTCAGGTACTCTCAGCTTAACCAAGTATTGGCAGCACCATACAGAGGGTTGGATAGACCCAGAGCTCTCCTTTCTCTTTCTGAAACTCCTTGACCTTCCTCATCAGGATAATCAAATCTTACAGTTCAGTGCATGAGTTACCAGGACTCAGGAATTTCAGTCAAGATGTGATTTATCACCCTGAATCCCACTCCCCCAAAAAAGGATTCTTTGCCGTCTTCATTCAGCAGATTGATTAGACAAAATGCGCAATGAGCATCAATGTGCAAAGTACTCGGAGGGTTACATGGAGAACATGTTCCTAAGTAATACATGTTGAGGCCTGCAAATAAGGGTGGGGAGATGAGAGGAGGAAGCAAGTACTTTCTGCACTTAATGCAGCCATTATCCCTGCTAGAACCTTGTGCTTTCATGGATGACCCAAGAAACCCATCCCATTCTAAAGACTTTATAAGAATGATCTTTTTTCTCCGCTCAAAAACACTGTAATACTTAAGTGGATTCCCTGTTCATTGTGGAAAACCCCTTTTCCCTGTCTCCCTTCAATTCACTCCTCATTCAAAGGTTTTGAATCATTTTAATTTAATGTGCTTTAAGTCAAGTTTTATATTTTGCTTTTACTTTTTTAAAGACCCTTTTTTCTGCTATTCCCACAAACTAGATATGGCTAATAGCAGGTTAAGTTAGTAGTATCTCTCTTCCTGTAAGAAATCACCTAACGTAAGCAACTTGCAGTCATAGGAAACTTAATGATCTCAGCTGGAATTGGTTTGGTTTGTGTTTTGTTTTGAGCATCCAGATTTCACAAGACCTAGATTTTGAAGACCAAAAGATTTCTGAAGAAGCAGAAGGTATAGAACCTTTAACCTGCAGGGCACTTTAAAGAGAATCTTAACATTAGTTTCACTTACATTGCTAGAGAGCCAGCTATAGTGACTCTAAATTTATATTCAAAATCTTTAAAAATCACTTCAAGTATGAATAAGATTTTAGAAAAATAAAAAGCATTTTTTTTAAATGGAGGGTAATAATCTTCTGCCCTTCATGAACTAGTTAGTCTGGTATAAATGGCAATGTAATTTGAAATAATTTCAATATCCTGTATTTTTCTCATAGGTTCAACTCAGTTTCATGCTGGCATGAGAAGATAATCCTTTGAAACATCATGAATCGAAGTGATTTTAAACAAATTCCCTTTTATAAATCAGTGGTTCTTTTGTGCTTTTGTATTGTGAATATTCAATGGGACCAGTACAAACACAGCTTATGATTGTATACCAATCCCTTGCCAGCACATTAAAACAAACTGGAATTTGTACATATAAGCATTGTGTATGTATTCATGCACAGTAATCATTAAATTACATGTATATTTGTGGAATGCTAATTTAAATGATTAAATTATAAACTTTGTGTATTTATCGGATGGGTGAAAAGATTAAACTTTTGCGTATTATGATACTGCTGAATGTGTAGCTTGAGATGTCCAGCACTTTTCTTATAAGGCTACTGAAGTTACATGTTTCTGCCTAATATATTTGCTACTGGTGATGAAGACAGATATCACTTGTAGAGACCTATTTTTGTATAATGGTAGAAGTTTTGAATTTTATGGGGTATTTTGTCAAGTACTGAAATAAAAATGACTTCACCATTTTAACCACACTGTATTTGAACCTTCTTCATTTTTAACTGAGCCATAATTCTTGGCGTCTCAGTCTGTTCAGGCTGCTATAACAAAATACCTAAGACTGGGTAGCTTATACAAAACAGAAATTTATTTCTCAGAGTTCTGGAGGCGAGGAAGTAGTCCAAGATCAAGGTACCAGCAGAACTGGTGTCTGGTGAGGTCCTGCTTGCTGGTTCATAGACTGCCGCCTTCTTGCTGTCTCTTCATATGAGGTCCGTGAGGTCTCTAAGGGCACTAATTCATGAGAGCTCTGCCCCTGAGACTCAGTCACCTCCCAAAGGTCCCCACTTCCAACTACCAACAAATTGAGGGTTAGGCTTCAATATACAAATTTGAGGGGGCTAGAGTCTACGGCAGTGCATGCCATCTCATTACTTATCTCAAATATGTAGGATTTAGAGATTCAGAAACTTGTCCTAATCTTAGAATTAGATACTATTGGGATTTTTCTTTCGCTCCATTGAGGAACTTTTCCATATCCCTTTTATCAACTTTACATCTACACAGTGCTTTCTGAAAGCTGCATTGCCATTTTCATGATTGATCCATATTTGCCCTATTATATTTAGTGTTCCTTTGTCCACAGATGTGTCCTCACAAAGCCATGCCCACTAAGATGATGCAGAAATCATTTAATTCAAAGAATCTTAAATTTTATTAACCAGAATGCAGCAGAATTAAGCAGTGTTCCTGCTGTCCAAGCCAAATTCAGATTGGGAAGCTCTCACAAATATAAATCTCAGTGCTCTCTCTTAACTCGAGTCCTCCCTGATAACGTGGCAGCTCACTAAAACAGCAAGAGTAGTATTTGATGCTTATATCTAGAGGATATTGTCTTGCCATTGGGTTAGTCCTATGATTTATACCAACACAAAAAGGCTATGGTAGCAAGTTCTACATTCTTAGAGATTTCAAATTACCTGAATTTTCCATATTCGTAGCTACATTCCAGTAAGAATAGTTCTAGAAATAACAAATGTATTCTAAAGCAGTTAGTTGAAGGGGAGGATTGTGGATAAAACCATTTTTAGCTAGCATAGCCAGTCTGCTGTGAGAGAGAGTGGAGAAAGGAGCAATGGACAAGTGCTCCGATCAATCTCATTTGACCCCCAATGTCTGACCATCAGCCCTCCTCATGACATTGGGTCTCTGCAGTCAGATTTGTTAATGCTTCTCAATAATTAGTCTGTGATTAAAAACTACATCTAAGTCTAAAACAAACTATTCACTAAACAAAGACTAGCCTTAACCTTGGGGTTTTGAACCTCTCTAGCAGTCTTGTGAAACTATGGCTCCCTTCTCAGAATACTTTTGAAGAGATAAAATATATAGGGATGCAAATGAACCCAGTTACATAGAAACAGTCAAACTTTTAAAAATTTTTGTGATATAATATAAAGATTAAAGAAATAAGATCTATCAGTAGATCTAATAACTACCATAATTTCAAAGTAGTGATGAGAGTAAAAGGTATTTCAAGAGATCTATAACATCTATAATGTGATATGAAACTATCTGTGATTTCTGTTCACAATATTTTGGGTACTGCTAATACTAGTGTGGTTTGTTGCATAAATTCATAAAGAAAATATTCAATTACACTTTGAAATTAGTACAAATAAAGATGGAATTTTTCCCCCATCCAGGTTCCTCAATTCCTAAATTTTGCTCACTGAAGCACACACACTTTATAATTTGTGAATACAGATTGTATTATTCTCAAAGATAATTTTAATGTGAATAACAGCAGAGATTTTGCCTTCACAAATATGAGTTTAACATGAGTCCTCCAGCCTCTTAAACAGAACTGTAATATAAGGGAAAATATGTTGGCCTCATCTAGTAACAAACTGTGTGCTCAAATTAGAGACACATGAGAGTCAGGTCTCCAGTTATAATTTAAGTTGATTCTTCAAGACAGGCTTCACAGAATTTGACCCATGACAGTACTCCCAAGATCCTGCTTCACATTACCCTTATCTTAAAGCCAGAGTTCCCTGATCAAAGATCATTTTGGTTTTTTTTTAAAAAGCCCTTTAACCTAGTTTTAATAAAACAGAACTAGTAACAGAAACATCCCTAATTAGATTCTGGAGAGGAAGTAGGGAACCACCTTGAGCCAGAGAACAAAAATTATCCCTTAAGGACTTTATTTTGGACTTCTCATACAGAGTGATCATGTGGAAGAAGTAGATAAATATGTAATATTTAGTAATTTGATCAAGTTACATGAGCAGTCTTTAGTATTAATAATTACACTACTTTTTAGGAAATATAAGTGTCATTGTCATAGCTCTCTCTCAATTTCCTATAGGTAGTGCTTCCAATTAAAATTTCAAAAAACGTATTTTTCGACAGTATAGCTCCATCATTGCCAAGTGTCATCATACTAAAACAATTAATAGGATTCTCTTTTATCTAAGGCTTTTTAAATGTGAGTTCATTCCCTGCCCACCCACCCTCACTTACACAAACATTACCCAATAAATGGATAAATAACCTAAGGCTTCCAAGTATCTCAGTGGGCTTTTATACTTGCAGATCTAATCCAAGATTTGAATACTCTGACCTACTTGCCCAGAGCTATGTATGCTCTTAAAATTAATACCTGGAAATTGTGTTATTTAGGATCTGCCAATTACCAAGATCCCCCTAAGTAATTTTTTACTAATCAGCTTGATTTCCTTAAATAAAGCATATGGAGTAAATATCCATCATAAAACTATTAGGAAATGTCTGAAATGCTGTTAGATTCGATGGAACCATTCAGTTAAGAAAATAAAAAAACAAATTAAGCGGGCTGTCTTAAAATTACACACTCAAAAAAAAAAGTACACTGGGAATGAACCGTTTTGTAAATTTCATTCTCTCCAAATACTTTTGTAGTTTACAGTGATGTTTGACTGTTGATGTTGTATTAGTTCCTTGAAGCCTTCTTCATTTTGATCTTCGTTTGTATCGAATGACGGGGTTTTCAGGGGTGTGAATCATGGTTGTATAATTCACAGTGGGAAAATATCCATCAATGAGATCAAATTCATATAAACGAAGCATAGTGGACCAAATTGTCTTAATTTGAACATACGCAAAATTCTCCCCAATACAACGATGACGCCCTGTTAAAAAAGAAAGAAGTTTTCATAAGAATCAATTGAAATTCTTTCTCACTTCTTTTAGCCTGGAGTAATAAAACTTGTTTATCTACAGTTTAGGTGAACAGCAGATATACAGATATTTGTAGTAAAAAGATGACATTCTTTTCACATAAAAGAAGAATGTAAATAGTTAATAAAAATCCCAGGAGATTTTCAATGTCTGTTTTTAGGGGAAAGAGCACTTGGGTAATTCTGTAATGACTTTTCTAATTACTTTTTTCTTTCTTTTTTTAAGCTTGGCCCTGAGCTAACATCTGTTGCCAATCTTCCTCTTTTTTTTTCCTTTTTTCTCCCCAAAGCCCCCAGTACATGGTTGTACATCCTAGTTGTAAGTCATTCTAGCTCCTCTATGTGGGATGCTGCCGCGGCATGGCTTGATGAGCAGTGTATAGGTCCACACCCAGGATCTGAACTGGCAAACCCCAGGCAGCCAAAGTGGAGCACGCAAACTTAACCACTTAGCCACTGGGCCAGCCCCCTCCAATTACTTTTTTTGAATTTGGTATCTACCTACCTTAAATATATGTAAGGTTCAAAACAAATGAGAGTAATCTAGTTTAGGAATACACTATTTTTAGCCTCCATGCCAAGAGAACCCTAGTTAAAAATCAATATGAAACTTCCAATCAAAACTTTAATGCCATTACAAAGATAATAAAAAGGGATTTAATAAACCTAAAATAGCAACACATACTGAGATCAAAATTTAAAAGCTCATATACACAAGCTGATTCTAACATGCATATAGAAATACAAAGGACCTAGGATATCGAAAGCAATCTTGAAAAAGAACTAAGTTGTAGGACTTAAACCGACTTCAAATCTGACTTTAGTACTAACGGTACAGCAAATTTGTGATAGTGTGATTTGTAGTAAGAAATATATATTTGGTCTTCCTCCCACTCTTGGCACAGAGCTCAACCTGTGGTATTTCTTAATCCTTAACCCTTGGTATTTCTTAAGTGAAAAGAGCAATAAAGGTGAAAGAAGCAAGGAGCCTTTTGTTATTCATAACAAGCTCCTTTCAACCACACTTGAGGTTGTTAATGAGGTGACTTTTGGAAAGCCCCCTCATAATGGGAGCTGGTTACCAAGGGAACCAACCATATGATTAGGAGGTTGAAACTTTCAGCCCCACCCCCGGACCTCCATCAGGGAGAGGGGCTGGAGGTTGAATTAACCACCAACGACCAATGATTTAGTCAATCATGACTATGTAATGAAGCCTCCACAAAAATCCCTAAAGTACTGGGAAAGGGAGGGCCAGTGATCAGAGAGCTTCCAGGCTGGTGCACACGTGGAGGAGCTCAGACAGTGGCATACCCAGAGACAGCTGCATCCATTCCCCCATATGCATCTCTCTTCAATCAAGCTTTTCCTAAATTGTATCCTTTTATAATAAAGCAGTAATCCAGTAAGTAGTAATCTGGTTTTGGAGTTGTGTGAGCCATTCTAACAAATCTGAGAACCCCAAAAATGGGATCAAGAGAACTTCCAATTTATAGCCCGTTGTAACAGGCGACAACCAGGACTTGGCAGTTGGTGTCAGAAGTGGCAGGGGAACAGTCTCATAGGACTAAACCTTTAACCAATAAATGGGGTCTGCACTAACCCAGATGTCAGAATTCAGTTGGTGGCTGCAGAGAATTGGTATGGGAAAAATAACCCCACATTTGGTGATCGGAAATGTCAAAACTGTTCTGAGTGAGGGTATAGAGTAGAGAAGAAAGTTTGTTCCTTTCACAGCAGCCAAGACAGTGTGGTACTGCATAAGGATCAACAAATAGATCAATGGAACAGGGCTCTTCAAACATACTTTT